GCCATGGAATGTCTGCTATAAAACAAATCAAATTCTATCAAAAAGTATTATATTTAGAACAGCGAATTCAACATAAAGAAATACCAAATTACTGAAAACGGTTTCTTAATATAACAATTTGCAATAAATGTTCGAATAAGTCACCATTAACTGCAACCAAGTCGATGATAAAATCCACTTGGAACTGCTGCTAATTGATAACTGGATATCTTTTTGTTTTAGAAAAATTCCAGATTATTGAAAAAGATGCGGGTTTTATTTTTGCAATGTTCCGTCTTTATTATGCAAAAAATTGAAAACTAATACAGTTGATTGACGTAAAAATTTTTTTCTACAAAAAACCTTAATACATTTTTGCTCTAAAATAATTTAGGGAGCCAATAATCGCATGTTATGAATTTTACATATTGATATCCCTATGATGCGTTACGCAAGTCACCACTCTGTATATGTTCAAATATAGGTATCTTTTTGAATATTCCTGGTCCTGGTATATTACAGAAATATTCAATGTTATCTGGGTAAGTACCAACATTTCTTTAATTAGCTTCCTATAGCTTGAGTTAGGTGCGGTTATTGCGATGAGGGTTTTTTAAACATGTCAACATTTCTTCAAATATTTCCATCTCTATTACGTACGCGTATACCGGGTGGTGCCTAGCGCGACGCTGCACAGGGATTTCAATGGTAATTTCTTTATAGTAAATTACTAGCTCCCCTCATTATTTTAGAGCAAAAGTCCTAATACGTTTTTTTAGAGAAAAAAATACTGCATCTGTTCATACTTTTAGTTATAATTTTCCGTTTTTCAAAACCGTACAAATCGACAAAATAAAAAGGTTCATTTTACAATAAATCAAATATGCCTTGGAATTACCTAAAAAAATAGCGATCACGTTTCATTATTTGCCTTTGACGTATATCAAATTTATACTTGTTTATAAATTAGTTAAAGAACTGCAAGTGCAATAACGTTCAAAATGTCCGTCAAAACCATCAGGAAAACGACAATACATTCAACGTTTTGGCTGCAGTAGCGGAAAATCCGAATATAAGTTTAAGAACAAATCTTCTTCAAATCAGTTTTTTTCTTCGATTATATGTAGGTACTCTGATTCCGGAAAATGATAAACAAATAGTATCTGATGCAGATGCAGCATACATTCTCTAAAAAAACATTACCCTAAGATGCCTTTTATTGCGTCGGTTAGTTGAAACAGAATTAAATATGAAAATCGTTCGACGTCAAATAACGATAACTTAGATGCGATGCGCTTGTAGTTTGTTAAAAGATTCCAAAGCATCACTGATTTATAAAAATGTAATTTTTTATTTTGTCGATTTCTACGGTTTTGAAAAACGGAAAGTATGAACAGATGCAGTATTTTTTTCTCTAAAAAAACGTATTTAGACTTTTGCTCTAAAATAATTAGGGGAGCTAGTAATTGACTATAAAGATATTACCATTGAAATCCCTATGCTGCGTTGCGCTAGGCACCACCCTGTATATAGAAGCAATTTTCCGAGATAACGGCTCTACGGATTTTGTTCAAATTTTAGATTAGATTTAGAACGGGCCGGATTTTTTAACAAGAAATGTTGGAGCGCTGCATAATGGCCTCGAACTTTTTTTTCAAATAGCAACACAACATTTGTATATTACTTAAATTGTAAGAGATACAGTGTAGGTTAACTGGAGGCAAAGTTGTCCTTTTTAATGACCCACCTTATTAAGAGAACAACTTCTTAGCTTAAACCAGATATAAAAAAGGAGTTTTTGACAGTGTTTTACATCCTTGATGCCTAATTTATTGTTGTGTAAAGTACAGAGAAGTGCCGTTTCTATACGTTGCCGAAGATGGAAAGCTAGCCGCACTCTAGTGAAAAGTAAAATGCGTGTTGTTAACTTAATTCCGGTTTAAGTATTAAAAATAGCATCAGTCGAAACATCCTGTATGTAAAATCAATCAAGTATTTCATAGGATCTGGAAAATTTAATTTCAAATAGACAGAGAAATGGAAAATGTTGTGGCATTGTCGTTTTAATTTTAGTTATTAAAGTTAGTTAGTATATCACTATTTAATTAGGTAATTTAATTCAATTTCTTGTTTAAAACGCATAAATAAGGAACATAGGTGTAAATAGGGATTTCCTATGTCTACTTTTAAATGATAGTCTTCTGAAAGACGCCTAATTTTATGCAACCAATATAAATAATAACTTCTTGAATCAAATAAAAATCTAACTGTCATATTAATTTAAATATTGTTGCTTCGGCTTCACAGAAAATAAATCTCTTAAGCTCCTTTAACTGTTATCGGCACTGTACCAATTGGAAATATCAACTTTTTCTTTAGTTGAATACATCGCACACGAACGAAAATTAGAATACGGAAGTCAAAGCGATAATATTCAAATTAATTATAGGACAGGCAGATCTTCACTTGTTGTATAGGTAGCTATTTTGGTTGCATAAAGTTAGGCGTCCTTTAGAAGCCTTTTTATCATCTATAAGTAGACATAGAAAATTCCTATAAGAAATCCCTATGTCTACTTCTACATATGAATATCTCTGTATAGGGCATATAGAGATGCTACATTTTTTATAGTTCATCTTTCTCTATGATTACAATTGTTTTTTATACATTTTATACCAATTGGAAGTAATCTGAATTATCACCAAGCTTCTTTGAATTATCACCAAGCTTCTTTGTTTATTCATTTGTTCCTCATACAAAGTGTTTGATGTTTGAAACGTTACATAATTCTATCAAATTGAGAGCTCCTAATCTAATATCTAAAGAAAAAACTTATTACTCAAAATGCCCACAGAGCAATGGGCATTGGGTAACATGCTGAACCTAGAGCCTAGGTTATTTATATCATTGTTTAAATACTTAAACAATGGTTATATTTACCTACAAGGTTACATGTTTATAATTAGGTTCTATACCTTCACTAATAAACAGTATTCAATAATTATACCTATCACATCTTTAAAAACAACAAAAACACATACGACCTTTGCTCGTACTATCTCTACACCATCACTTAGTAACAAAACTGTTTGGTCAATATCACTTTTTATCTTATTTTTTTGAGAAAATGTCAAGATCAAATGTTGACAATAAGGAATTATTAGAAGAATTACAATCTGCCATAGATAACGACAAAATGTATTGGATAAGAAATGAGGCAAAACTAAAAGCGGCAGTCTCAGCCAAAAACTACGATGACTTTCGGTAACATGAGCGCTTATGTAATTCACGTATTAATTGTATTTTATATAGGGCATCAGTAGCAGCAGCACACCTAAATCCACTAAACAAAAAAGACTGGAAAAGAAAGGTAGATACTTGGAATACATTTGCAACTTCCAAATCTCAAGAATAATGCATCAATTACTAATCTATTTATTTTAAAAAAAGTATAACAATAAAATGTATTCCTCCAGGATTTTTATAAAAGTAAAGGTACGGAAATTACTTTGCAGAATGAAAAATTAAAATGGAATGATTACAATAACTATCGTTAAACATTAAAAAAGTAACACTGTTAGTAATGTATAAACTGTATTGTTTGTAACAAACACTACCTAAGTACTCCTATAAAATATAGCTTTTTTTTAGCAATTACCGGCGCAGTTGCCCTACCGATAATACTAATAATAAACTATGAGCAACAGACTAACCCTTCAAACTATTATTTACATTGGCAAAAAAATGCGAAAAATCCCAAGCATAAAAACACCTAAACGGCAAACCACTTCCTCGTTTTTAAACATTAAAATTAAAGCAAGAATTTGATAAAAAATAAAACAATAACACAAAACACTGATATAGACACAACCATGTTTTTTTTGTTTAAAATTAGAAATATTGTAAATGCTTGTTTCAAATGCTATACCTAAATGTGATCAGTCGTACAAAGTTGACTCGAATGAAATCTATTTCCTGGGTTGTTGAATGTTAATGGGAGTTTTTACATTATGGTGGACAGGAGGTTTATCTTTATGAAACACCTGTACCGCTTCTGCAGGAAAATCAGCATTACCTTTCGGAATTGCTCCCGAAATTGTTGATGGTTTCGGAGGACTGCCAGAAACCTTCAGGCCGGTCGTATCTTCAGTCAAACCGACAGGTTCCTTGGGCGATTTGTGCTGCGTAATTCGCATTCCGCCAGCTTTTACTGTAATTTACATGCGTTATTAATTCAATATTGTTTAAAAGACGCAATTCTCACCTGCTGGAAGATGACCAGCTTTTAAATGGCACTCCGTTTCCTTAGGACTCGACATTACGTGAACCGTCGATAGAACTTTGATTTCTACAATATGGTTAACAAGATTGATAAAACAGTCACCTAAACGATTATTAGATAATTCTCAAAATAAGCAAACACGTATACAAAAAACGATGCCCTTGAAATTTGTTTTCGCTTATTAATCCAGTGGCGTGCTCATATTTTATAAGGCAGAACAGCTGATTAGCGATGTCGCGAAAACAAGGCGCATTTAGACATAGAATGTGGTTTGTCCAATCAAAAGATCATATGATCTTTGGTTTGTCGTTTGCTATGCATTAATTGAATGCTATTCGGTAGGCCATAGCATAGAGTAAATTTACTCTATGGCCATAGAGTAAGCGCAGCGTGGCGTGTGGCGAAGAACAAAAAACACGCCAGTGGCGGGGGGATAGATAATAGGTTACTTACAATAACTTAATCCACAGAGTTGTATATTACTTATATACAACTCTGTGACTTAATCAGACATGGAAAGGTTTCAATTAAGGGGGGGGGGGCATATTTAAGATATTAAAGGAGCGGGAATTTTAAATTATATATCCATTGAAATACTAGAATTACTACTGAATTACACATGTTATGTGCAAAATTGCTACTGGTTTCATAATTTTAATTAGCATAAGTATTCGAGTCACCAGACCTGTATGTGCGCTTACTATATTATCCACCTTACACTGAAGCATCAAGCAAGTTGTATTTTCCAGTAACCACAGCAAAGATCATGGCAACGAATGTGTTGAGAAAACCGCAGTGTCCGGGAGAAATTTTCGTAAATTCTCTTCAATTCAAATTGATCACCAGCAAAATGATTTTTTGATTTTTCATTTTGTCAAAATGAAATTTAATTATCTACCTGAGCAATTCATTCTCATGACTGTGAACGGATAGGGATCCCACCCAGGCGCGGATTTAGGCAGGGGCTTTATGGGCTGCAGCCCAAGGCGCGGGGGCCCCATGCCGACTACTACAATATTCTCAACACGGTTAATTTTGTGCTTGACTGCACCCCCGTAGCGCTGCCCCTGAGCATCCTCTTTCAATTTCGAAGGCAGATATGGACCCTGCGCCCCCGATAATCCCGAGTAAGATTTCTCCATTTTAACGGCGGACGATGAAAAAAGGATTGACAATAGAGTCGCATTTCCTTTGGAAGTTCTAGTTAAATACAGGGTGATTCCTATAGTACCTGCCACCGTTTGGGAGCGTGTAGGTGGTGCGTAGGGGAGTATTTTGATATAGGACACTTGGGGTCGGAAATCTAAATTAAGGGTGCCAGAGCCAAATTTACCTTCTGGAATTTCGCGCCTGTAGGTAGGCAACCCAACCGGCCGGCGGTGCACACGGAGCGATCTCAGGCGGCGATGTGTGGCTGACACTTGATCAGAATTTTGTTTAAACCCACGAAATCCTGTCTGCAACGACGCGTATCAAGTGAATAAACACTATGGCAATAGTATAATAATAGTTGGCTAGATGTAGGAAGTGCATTGAGAACAACGGTGGCCACGTTGAAGACTTGTAAACGTTATAGTAGGGGAGCTAACACGAAATCCACTGAACGAGAATGATCAAAATTTTAACCGATGGAGTTCCATTTTGCCCTATCAGAGTATGCTAAAATCGATCGTCTGCCGCCTCAGGTCATACGACTTAAGGCGCTGCGGGTACTTCTTGTGGTACCAATTCTGAAAGGTTGTTTTTCGAAAAAATAAGTTATACACCAAATGAAAACGTTGATAATAGCTCTTAAAAAAATATTTTAAAAAATCGCGCACATTTGATAACTCCGTAAAAAAACAATTCTTAGTCGGTTTTTCACGAACTTTGTACGGATATAACTAGGTTACCGTTGGAAGAATGAAGCTGATTTTTTTTACAGACTAATGATAGGTACAGCCAATGACTACGAGAGTGTTTCTTTTTTAAATTTTTTCTCTAATTATAATGTTAAGCTAATAAGATAATCTTGTAATTAGAGACAAAATTTAAAAACGAAACACCGTTAAGTCATTAGTAGTACCTATCATGAGTCTGTAAAAAAAATCAGCTTCATTCGTCCCACCGTAACCTAGTTATATCCGTAGAAAGTTCATGAAAAACCGACTAAGAATTGTTTTTTTACGGAGTTATCAAATGCGCGGGATTTTTTTAAATATTTTTTTAAGAGCTATTATCAACGTTTTCATTTGGTATATAACTTATTTTTTCGAAAAACAACCTTTCAGAATTGGTACCACAAGAAGTACCCGCAGCGCCTTAAGTCGTATGACCTGAGGCGGCAGACGATCGATTTTAGCATACTCTGATAGGGCAAAATGGAACACCATCGGTTAAAATTTTGATCATTCTCGTTCAGTGGATTTCGTGTTAGCTCCCCTACTATTATTGCTGTTTGACTGTCGTTTTCCCCTTCGCCCTCCCATGTCGCTCCTCGCGGCTAACTCGCTCTTGCATCGCCTCCGCGCCGAAACGTCGGTCGGTTGGGTTGCCTCCCTCCCATGTCGCTTCCTCGCGCTAAACTCGCTCTGCATCGCTCCGCGCGAAAACGCGGTCGTTGGTTCCGCTACATACAGGGCGTGAAATATCCAGAAGATAAATTTGCGTTCTGGCGCCCTTATTTTAGATTTCCGACCCCAAGTGTCCTATATCAAAAATACTCCCCTGGCACCCCCATACGCTCCCCAACCGTGCAGGACAGGTACTATAGGAATCACCTGTATAATTTTTCGTCCGTTAAACAAAAATCCAAAGGATGACTTCGACATGGCAATTCTTTGTTAATCGCATAGTATCACAGATTTAAATAATCTGCTGAAGTTGGAGCAGATTTACTGTTTTACTGAAAATGATGATTACAAATGCTAGGTATGACAAAATGAACAAAAACAAACAATTGTGTTCTAAATAAATAAAATTCCCCTTGTATCCTTTAAATTCACCACGTTCAAAACAAAGTTCACTTGACTTGAATGGCGTTTATTTTTATTAAGGAATGAAGGTCAAGGGGAAGGGTAAGGGTAGAGGAAGGGGGTGGAAGAGGAAGGGAAGGGAGGGGGGAAGGGGAAGGGGAGGGGAAGGGGAAGGGGGAAAGTGGAAAGGGAAGGGGAAGGGAAGGGGAAGGAGGAAGGGGAGGGGGAAGGGAAAGGAAAGGGAAAGCGGAAAGGGAAAGGGAAAAGGGAAAGGGAAGGGGAAGGGGAAGGGGAGGGAAGCGGGAAGGAAGGAAAGGGGAAGGGAAGCGGGAAGGGGAAGGGGTAGAGGAAGGGGAAGGTGAAGAGGAAGGGGAAGGGGGAAGGAGAAGGGGAAGGGGAGAAGGGGAAGAGGAAGCGAAAGAAGAAGACAGTGTAAATGGAATTTTACCTCTCTATGTAAATACGACTTGTCGATGAACCTCGGGTGGCCGTTATTTGATTAAACAGTTTGTATTACCGCCAGCGATTTAATTTGGCGTGCAAATTGGACACACAGATTTTGTAAAAAGAGAATCCGGTTTAGGATAATATTTTAATAAGGTGTGCGACTTTCATCAATTATATATTGATCTGTTTCGTCTCGAAAGAAAGGGTGGATGATTTTATTAAAGTCATTGGCCCATATGAATAAAAGGAAGCATATGCTGATACTTGCAAAATTCAAAGTAAATACTCGTAAGTGCCCCTTCACACTGAGCTGCTCAGCAGCGCTGCACTGCGTTCCGTCCCGCTGCTCAGCAGCGCTGCTAAGTCGATAAGTGTGAAGGGGCACTTAAGAGTATTTACTTTGAATTTTGCAAGTATATAAGCATATGCTTACTTTTATTCATATGAGTCATTGGCCCATATGAATAAAAGTAAGCAAATGCTTATACTTATACAAAATTCAAAGTAAATACTCGTAAGTGCTCCTTCGCACTGGGCGACTTAGCAGCGCTTCTAAGCAGAAGGACAGGACGCAGCGCAGCGCTGCTAAACCATGCTAAACAAACAGCTATTATGCCCTTAATACATAAATAACTATTTCAGCTTTGTGAAAATGGTCCGAAAAACAATTTTTTACGTGTTTTTTAGCCTCTCATACCAACACGCCACGCAGTCGCGCCAGCTGACTCTTGTTTTAAGTGTTAACTAAGTAAAAACTACCAGGCAGAATAGAAAGTAATTGTGCGAAAATGACCCGTAAAAATAGGACGCTACCTCCCGGACTAATAGTTAAGGTGACGCATGACATTATTTTATTGCTATAGTAACGCGTGAAATTCGGACAGATACTAGCAGTAAATATAAGTTCCACTTAAACTAAACTATAGTCAGTGTGCACTTAGTAAATAAAGTGTAAGTCTAACTTAAGTAATATCTATGAATTCCACCCATAGTCCATTATTCGCATCAAAGTGTACCTCCGATTTTCGATCTATTAAAAAATAATGCGATTTTGAGTCAATCAATTTTTGAGACCCTGAAAAGGTTACCTAGGTACTTAAAAACGTCAAATTACAATTAGGAAACTTAATTTTCTACTATTTTCTACTTGCAATTCACTGTAACATTTTCCGCTGAGTTAAGTAGGTACATCGAAATAAAGAAGTCACATACTTATTTTCATCTCTGTATTATTTGGATTTGACGTCAATTTCCCTTGCGTTCAGCCATCTCAGTATTCTACAAGGTCAGTTTTTCCACCGTCGGATAAATTTAATCAGTAAATAGGTAAGTACCGTGACAACTATTGTATCGACAATGGTATCCATGGAATTTAGGCGGAAAGTAAAGTTATCGAGAGGAGCGGGAGCGGGAGCGGATGCGTCATTTTGTATATGTTTGTATTATTACTCTCGCCAGGAAAGATTGCCGGTCACAGCACACTTTGTGTCGATCTACAATCTATGTTTTTCTTAAGATGCGAGCGACTTTCCCGTATAGGATCGTGCCAATGTTGAACGAAAAGTCTTTTCGTTTAAGATTAGACACTGTACTATCCTGGAAGGCGCTCACTTCTTTAGAAAAACATAGATTGTAGATCGGGATCAAGTGTTCTGTGACCGGCAATCTTTTCTGGCGAGAGGTTTATATACTTACAACCGTTGAGTGAAGGATTTCACTCAACGATACATAACCTACGACCATTGTATACATATACAATGCTACGACCATTGAATATCCAACTTATTCAATGCTACGACGATCATTACATCGTACTACTTTTTAGAAGGGCAAAGCTGCTTCCCATCAAGAGTAAGGAATACTTTTTGCTTACTTACAGGCATCTTGGTTTTTATTGTCGACTGTCGTCGAGACAGAATGACGTTCGGTCGGTTCAAATCGGTCAAAAAATGTGACCTGTTGATGGAGAAATCCGACTTAACGGCTCAAAATGTCGATTTTTGTCATTTTTGCAATACCTCAAAAATTATTTTTTGCACTCCTTGGTTCTAAATCGCGTTTTCCCAATAAAACACAAAAGTCGGGAACGTCAATTTTACAATTGACTATCTACTTTCGCGCACTAGTGCCTAAAAATTCAACGAAATTATCTATTTAGTGCGGATCATAAACTAATAAGTAGTATGAAGAGTAAAAAAGAAAATGTAAATACACTTTACATCATTCCCTGTAGTACAGGGGCAAAAATAAGCTTAAACCAGAAGTTTTGAACAATAAATTGACATTTTAAATTTGTAGATTTCTACTTTATCGGCATAGAGGACTTGATTTTTCAAAAGAATTATAATGTCGCAAAAATCTCGCGAAAAGGATTTGAATTTATATAAATTCGATTTAACTAATCCGTGCAAAAATAGAATATATTACGTGCGTGAACAGTATTTGCTTGATTCGCGCGAGATGCGTCGCTCGTGCGCGTTGCGCACTCGCGCCGCCAAACTTCGCGCTCATCTGCAAAATAACTGTTCCCGCACTAACAATGTAAATAACTATTGCCGGTTTGGATCAAAGTTATAAAGCCGACACGTCTAACGTGCTCTATAAAAGTTGTCCTGAATATGGGCCCGATCGATCGGACGGCGGGTTCTCGAGAATTTTTTTTGGGAAACCCCTCGTTTCTAATGCGATAAAAAATTTGACAAAATGGAAATATTACACTTAGGGCCAATTGCACCGTCAAAATTAATGGCCGTTTGCACCGACAAATTTAAGTGGAGCTTAACGACAAAGAGTATATAACGTATACGTATACTCTTTGCTTAAGCGTAGCTTAAAATCCATGGCAACCATTGTCTCAATAATCGTTGCCATGGATTTTAAGCTACGCTTAAGCTAAGCTTCGCTTAAATTTGTCGGTGCAAACGGCCATCAATAACGTAACGCCTTCGATCATGTATGATCGAAGCGTAACGCACACAAGTTACTCAGAAACGACTTGGCATTCTTGTTTCTTCCAGGCCATATTACAGTGACTAAACTATAGACCAGCACTGGACTCTGGAGGGACTATAAGCGAAACAAAAAATAAACATTGTAATCCGATACATCAAAACATAAATAAAACCATTCATTATACACACAATGTGTGCATAATCAATGATAAAACCACAGATTTAAATATACTATTTAAATCTGTGATAAAACATAAAAATATTTTGCCCCATACGAAAATAATCCATACAGACGCCTATGGTAAATTTTTTATGTAAGTATTGCCATCTAGAGTTGGATATGTTAAAGATCATCCAACTATTTTCACGTCTTTGTCTTGAATACGGAAAAAAATCTAACGCTCTGTAATGATGTTATTTTTGGTCTTTGCATTGAATTTTGATTCAATGGTCTTTGTTGAGCATTAAAGATACACGTCAGTTCCTGTAAGTTCTTTATTTCTAACCTGGGCCGTGTTCTATCTTCGTTCTCCAAAAGATCACTGTATTCTACTGTCCTCATAGTTACACCCGGCTTCTAATAGGTGGTATTAAACGCATATGCATGTTCTGAATGATCTCCCTTCAATTCCTCTTTCTTCAATAAAAGTTTGCCCATTTTTGACATTTACTTGACAAACTGTATTTTCAATTAAATTTTTAAATTTTTACATTAATTATCCAAGAAAATTGTAAATATTTTTAAATTTTGTCGTTTATTATTTCTAAGAATACATATGTAAGTATGTTGTCCTATTTTTCAGCAAAAAAAATCATTCTGCCTTCCAAGCATTTTTTGTAATCTACCCATTTACTTTTCTGATTGCCAGAAACTAAACTACCTTTACTTTAGAATGGCAGACGAATGGAACGAGTCACCTGCAGTTTCCAATCAATATGCTTTTGTGGATCGGGTTATTTCAAGCGAATACAGAAATACAGAACGGTCTAGTAGAGGTTTTTCTAGAGGACGCGGCGGCGGAGGTGGTGGTCGTCGATTTCAGAATAATCGTGAAGATTTTAACTCTGCTAACGGTAATGGCTGGGGAACTTCGCCCAAATCGGCCGACACTAATCAAATTACCATTGAGGTTCCTAGCAGGAGTGTTGGTCGGATTATAGGTAAGTATGACTTTCATAGATGTTTGTAGTATGTTTTAATATAAAATGCATTTGTGCTTCACTAGTACGGATTAGTATATAGGTTTTTTTACTACAGGAAAGGGAGGTTCAAAGATAAGTGATCTGCAATTTGAATCTGGTGCCAAGATTAACGTGACAAAAGAAACTGTTGGCGATAATACTATTGTGAAGATAAGTGGCCAAACTGACGAAATAGATAAAGCAAGGGAAATGATTGAGCAGTTGACAATAGACAGACCTCCTCGTCAGCAATTTACTCTTACACCATCGGTAGCTCCACCCATAGAAAATAAGAATGTTGTCATAGACTGGCAGGCTTTATCCGAAGAATGTGTAAGTATTCCGATCATATGGATATTTCTCTCAATACTGTTTTACTAACCAAGAATTGACTTTGTTTTTCATATTTATCTTATTTTGAGCCCATTCTCCAAGGCGCTATTATGTCAACTTTCTCTGTCCATCCGACTGTCCGAGGCGTTAACTACTACAGTTCAATATATTTCATTTGTTCTTTTTATATTCGTTAGCTTATAGCTCTACCACCTCAACAAAGAAAAATCTTGACAGTTAATGTGCGCATCCGCAGACTGGGCAATATCAACTTTCTTATTTATATAGATATTTTTTTAAAATTTTAATCACAGATAACCATCTGTAAAGACAGGCATATCACATATTTTAAACATCAGGTGTGCGCTTGCGCAAAAAGGTTAAATTTTTTATTTATGCCTTAACTTATTTTCCTTTATTTTGTACACATAACCAGTCCGTTACATGACTTTTTGGGTATTAGAAAATGGGCTAAAGTTACTCGCCTTAAGGCGATTTTTTTTCCTTTGTTTTTTCTCATCCTTACCAATGGTTATCACGATTTATTGAGTTATTCAAAAACTTGATAAACTTGCGTTGCGCATGTGCAGATTTCCTTTTTTACTTTAGATTTAATTTAAAAGTAACTTGTAACTGGGTTTCGAGAAAGAGAAAACAAAAGTACATAATATATTGTTTTTGGGAGTTAAAGTTGCACTTTTTGTGACAAAATCTGTAAGCTTTGACTTTCTTCATTTGGCAATATGTTAAATATAATGTAAGTCAATTCAAGTAAAAAATTGATAATCAGCAGAAACAAGTTGTGTAGTTGATGTGTGTCCTAAAGTCTCTGATGTGCTCACATTTGAGGAAGGGTAAAGGCCCCTTTTTAGCGCATTTTCTCATGTTGGAAGGTGCCATTATGGCCTCTTTCACCGTCAGTCTGTCCGTCTTTTTACATTTGGTAGCTTATATTGAACTATGCGATCAAAAAAGAGTTGCTGTCGAGTTCCTTCAATCATAGTTAACTGGAACTTCCAAAGGCGACTCGACATCAATCCCTTTTGATCGCCCGTTAGCTGTGGCACCTCAACCAAGAAAAGTCTTGACGATTAATTTGCACATGCGCAAACTGCCCAAAGTCAATTTTTTTTATTTATAAAGATATTTTTTGAAATTTTAGATTATTCTAGTGAAGACAATATTGTAAGGTGTGCGCATGCGTGTACGGGGTAATGTCAACTTCTTTATGGAGATATTTTTTGAAATTTTAACCACAGATGCTTCTAGTAAAGACAAGCATATCGTATAAGTAAAAAATAAGATATGCGTAAACGCGCAATGTGAACTTTTATATTTATAGACATACTTTTTTGAAATCTTAACCAAAGATCCTTCTAGTAAAGGCACACATATCGTATTTTTGATACATCAGGTGTGCGCATATTTATAAGAATATTTATGCTATAACTTATTTTCCTTTACACACATAAATTGTCTGTTACACGACCTTTCTCTCAATTAGTTAGTTTAAATCACAATACATTTTCTAATGTATTGACTGTTAAGTCCGGCGTACCTCAAGGTTCTATATTAGGACCACTGCTTTATACGTTGTACACAAGTCAGTTGCACAAAGTTCTAAAGACTTGCAGTTATCATCTATATGCGGACGACACACAATTATATTACTCCTTCTTTAAACATGAATTACATAATGCTTGTACAAAGATAAATGCGGATCTGAGTTTTCTCTATTCCCACTCCAAAGATCATAATTTACTGCTCAATCCTAAGAAATCCGTCGCGTTGGTATTTGGTGCAGGAGCATTACTTTCTGCTGAGTATGTAAAATTACGTATTGATGATGTACCAATTACTGTAAAAAATGTCGCTAAAAATTTAGGATTGTGCGTAGATAGTGATCTTGCTTTAGAGAACATGTAAGGAACTGTATACGCAAGGCTTATGGAAATTTGAAATGCCTGTATCCGCACCGAGCATTCCTGTCCGTTAAGACAAAAAAAATGTTGTGCGACTCGTTAGTGTTGTCGCAATTTAATCATTGTGACATGGTCTATGGGCCATGTCTTGATGCTGCCTCTGACAAACGTATACAGGTTCTTCAAAATGATTGTGTTCGCTTCATTTTTGGTCTTAGGCGTCGCAGTCATATCTCTCACAAATTGAGAGAATTAGCGTGGCTTAATATGTCACAAAGGCGGAATAAGCTTCATTCTTTATGTGTGTATCACTCTTTAATTACTACTGGGTTTCCGAAATATCTTAATAACAAGATGCGATACCGTACCGACGTACACAACGTGAATATACGGGGAAAGGGATTATTATCGATGCCCTCCTTCAAGTTTATTTCTAAATCAGCTTATCTGAAATCATTTTCTTACAACGCAGTTGTAATGTACAATGCCCTTTCACCCGAATTGAAACGCTTGCCCTTAAAATTATTTAAATATCGTATGACATCTTTAATGTTAGACGATTAACGTGCACAAAGCAAATATGGCAATCACAGTAGGCATCACTGTCTATAGGGTAACACTGGTCGGATTATATTTACATTCTGTCAGTTATGGGTTCTTTCGCAGCAATTTTGAGGTTAAGTGGTAGAGCGGAGAAGAGCAGTCCCTCAGTATTGCTCTTCAACCGAACTTCGCCTTTGGGGTTGCAGTCTATTGCATATACGTGCATCTGTATCTTTAAACTGTAAAAATATGTACTACCTAATCGTATTTGTCAACTGCTGCATCACCCAATAAAGCTATATTATTATTATTATTTCGGGAAGTACTGATCAATTCATGGTAAATGCGCTGTATTTACTCGCCTTAAGCCGAAAACCTTTTTTCATTTTTTGAGTGGCTCCTAAACAAAACACGTTGCACCCTAGGTTTATTTGGAAAAGTGCTTGTTTTGATCCTCTCTACCACCCAATTTTTTTTTGCGCATTTTTTAAGAATGTGCTTTTGTTCGCATTTTGTCTGCCCCAACCCACTTCTGCCATATTGAACTACTTTTAGGGCATTCCCCTAGAGTCCTGGATTTTTTTGCAATAGGTAACCTATACCTTGAAACCTTGAAGGTGTGCCAGACGGCAAGAATAACTTTTACATGCGACAACTAATTAGTCTCTTAAGTAAAACTTCAAAATAGGGGGGGGGGGGGATGAGCACACGTTCTACCCCTTCTGGTAGTCTCACAAGCTATTCCACGCCACTCCTTATTGAATACTGGGGGGGGGGGGGCGATAGAAATTAATTTTATCCTTCATTGTACTCTAATGATATGATAGGTCTCAACAAAAGGAATTAATTTCTACCGATATAGTCTTCCTCGCATATATCTCAAGAACAGATTGTCAGAGGAGGGTACTCACAAAGGGCATTTCGCCTTTGGGAGTACGTCCGGTATTAACTTCTACAACCTTCTTCCAGAACACGTTAAATGATGCTCAACGGCTCAATAGTTCAACAGAAAACACATTTTTTGTTAACAAAATGTTACTACACCATACGTTGATGATTGTAAGAACCTGTGATACGTATTCCTGTGGCCCCACGTTGGGCGCCAAATAAATAATGCTGTTCGAAATGGTATGCGGTCATTATACCACCCAACAGATACTTCCCTACCTAAGTTAAATTACACAAGTTCATTGTTTTTTCTTTTAATTCTCCCTCAGGACACGACTGGGTTCCGACACACCGTTCTCTCTCTTTCATTCTTCCTATTTAAGCAAAAAGCACCTACTCTTAACAAATTGAACGGTGTTATTAACCCGACTTCACTTGAAATTTCTCTCTGTCGCCAGAACTGATAAATACCTGCATTACTTTTCTCGCACGTGACATTGTTTGTTGAAAAACCAATTAATTCTTGTCCAATAACAATTTTTTATCAACACTTGACCAGATAACACTTTAAACTCACGTAAAAAATTGAAAACTTTTAATTAAATGTTCCCTTAGTGATCTGTTTTAAATATATCATAGAAACTAAATACATACAACAAATAGAATTAAAGAGCATTGAAAGTTGTGGAGGTGTCATTGGTTTTGCTGTAGGTCAAACGCCAGAAAAAAATAGTTTGTAAAATCTCAAAATCTGATTTTTTCGAAATATTTCAAAAAACAAAAATTTTTCTGGAATTATCTTCTTAGACCTTATTTAACCGAATTTCTTTCTCTTACCCCTTCTCGAAAGACCACACTCCTTATCTTGGCCACAGTGTATATTATATTACTTTGGAGCATTTTGATTGATCAATTTCTTTGTGTGTGTTCAGTATATCACGTATAGTATGGTCTGAATAGCTTTATGAAAAATATTGAAAAATACTGAGTGATGTGTATTCATCCATTTTTTCAGGATCGAATGACAAAAGAAAAATGGTCTAAGGCCCCACTAATAAAAAAAAACTTTTACATAGAAGACCCCGCAGTTGCAGCAATGACTGCAGATGAAGTTGCTAAATTTCGCGAAGATAATAATAACATTGTGGTTGCTAGAGCGCTGTCTAAAACACCGAACGATAATAAACCGATACCTAACCCAGTTCGAACATTTGAGGAAGCTTTCCGAAATTATCCATTAATATTGGAAGAGATCAGGAAGGCAGGTTTTGAATCTCCGTCGCCGATTCAGCGGCAGGGTTGGCCGATTTTGCTGAGCGGGGAAGATCTGATAGGAATCGCGCAAACCGGAACAGGCAAGACTTTAGCTTTTTTGTTACCTGCACTAATACATCTCGATGGTCAACCCACACCAAGGGAACAGCGCGAAGGTCCGGGCGTGCTTGTGATCGCACCCACACGAGAGTTGGCCTTGCAGATCGAACGGGAGGTTAAGAAATATCACTACAAAAATATTAAGGCGTAAGTTATTTTTTATACTTAGGTTTATGCCCAGAGTCTTTGTTCAATGGTAAAACCGGTTTTACCTTTTCAGGTAGTATTCAAATAAACATTTCCATCTTTCAGAGTGTGCGTATATGGTGGCGGCGACCGAAAAGAGCAAGTGAATATAATAACCAAGGGCGTTGATATTGTAATTGCGACACCTGGCAGATTGAACGATCTGGTCCTTGCCGGTACTGCACTTCCAAACATTCTAATAATTATTTACGCTAGTTTTACAGGATATATATCGACCGAAACGTTTACCTACGTAGTTCTGGACGAAGCCGATCGTATGCTGGATATGGGTTTTGAGCCTCAAATACGTAAAGTGTTGTACGAAATTCGGCCTGATCGACAAACGGTTATGACCAGTGCAACATGGCCGTCTGGTGTTCGCAGATTAGCTGACTCATATATGGTAAATCCAGTTCAGGTTTATGTAGGATCTTTGGATTTGGCTGCTGTACATACTGTCACTCAAACAATTATCATGTTACCAGATGGCGAAGAGGAGAAATTTCAAACGGTAAGCGTTGTGCACCATGTGATTATTTCAACTTAAAATTTCAGTTTATGGATTTCGTACATAGCATGCAACCTGATGACAAGGCCATTGTATTCTGTGGGAAAAAGGCTAAGGCGGATTATTTAGCCTCGGAGCTTGTAATAAATGGTATTGATTGCCAAGCAATGCACGGCGATCGTGAACAGTGTGATCGTGAACAAGCATTGGCAGATATTACAGATGGTACCGTTCAAATTCTCATAGCGACAGATGTAGCATCCAGAGGAATAGACATAGAGGACATATCGTGAGTAAGATTAGTTTTGAAAATTTATTTTAATTCTTATTTTTATAATAGACATGTCATCAATTATGATTTTCCAAAGAATATAGAAGAATACGTCCACAGAGTGGGACGTACAGGACGGGCCGGTCGTTCGGGATGTTCCATTAGTTATTTTACTAGGGCAGATTGGGCAAATGCTCAAGAATTAATTCCTATTTTAGAAGAAGCCTGTCAGGTACGTAGCAATAGTGAATCAAACATTACCTAAAAATGTGCAAAATCTTGTTGCACCAAAAAATTGAAACTCTTTCTTTAAAAGTGTATTTGTGATAACCAAAATATTTTTCCGTTGGGTCCGTGTGGTCTTTTTCCCAAGAAAATGGTGCATAAATAAGGATTTAGATTTATTTTTGGCAATAAAATAATGGATGCCAAAGTTAATTTTTGATAGCTGCAAATCTGGAATCCATAAGCTTTCATATGGCGGAAACCCAAAGTTGATACAAGTTCTTTTTCCCACAAAAATCGGTACATAAATAAGAATTTTGACATTTTTTAACCAAAAATATGTTGGTTACCAAAAATACGCATGGATCACTGGTTGGGCATTGCGTAATCAAGTTTGGCTTTTTTTCCAAGAAAATTGATGAATAAATAACGATTAATTTATAGTAGATTTTAAATTGACATTCTAAAAATAATAATACTAATAATAATGTTACATAGTATTTCTAGATTTCCTTAATGTGTTTTTTTTTCTCGACAAAACTTGACCAGACGAACAACGTACAGACAAACACTAATTGTTACTTGATTTTAATCCGTGCGATTAGTTAACCAGGCTAGACCTGAGTTCTTACAAGAAACACCGACCATAATAATACTCTTTATTTCCATGGACACATGATTGTAGTGCATAGGTTTCAATGAGTAGGCTCTGTTTAACAGTTAGGGTAGATAAAACGTTTGATTGTGCATTGCAATCTGTCACTCTTATTGAAAATGGGACGCGGCGCACGAAATAAAATGAGGTTCAGAACGAAACTTTCTGATTTTCGTTTTTAATTTTTTCATGATAAACTAGTCGTACTAGACATTTCTAATTAACACATTATTCGAACACTTTTCAATGGAGATTTCGAATGTGACATCTCGTTTTAAATAACTTTTCAGATGATAGAGGAACACGTGGCAACTTTAGTTTTTCTTATGGGCGCCAATTTTTTTTTAGATTTTAAGATTACGTCTTTTTTTATCTTTACGACTCAAAATGTCAAAATCCAAAACGGCGCCCATAAAAAAAACTAAAGTTGCCACGTGTTTCTCCGTTATCTTGAAAGTTATTAAAAACGGGATGCTATATTCGAAATCTCCATTAAAAAGTGTCTGAATAATGTGTTAATTAGAAATGTCTAGTACAATTAGTTTACCATGAAAAAGTTAAAAATGAAAATCAGAAATTTTCGATTTTTTGCCATATTTTCAAAACTATTGAAGATATTATAAATTTATTTTTAGATTATTATTCAGCACGAAAATTCGCAACTTTGCCCTAATTTAACAAAGTTTCTATCTCTTAAGATAAGCGAGATCCCCATAGTGGCATTCGAAAAATGGACACCATATAAACTTCACACATAACAAAATTCGAAAAAAAAACTTCCTCCAATTAACGGGACGTAAGCTCATCACACAATGAAAAAAATAAGGAATAAGAAATAGTGACGCTGTACACGCAAAACACAACAAACAAATAGCAACAGACTATAAGCCAATCAGAACACTCATGCCGTTTGAATTTATGTCATTATAATGGCAATGGCAAATAAGGCAATAGCAGGCTAATTGCACAGACATCAAACATAATTCCAAGTTCATAACTTCACAAAAACAACACCTAATACCTACTTGTTTTATTTTAGGTTAACAAGATAAAACAATAAATATAGAATACGCGTGCGCGCCTCTTCTAATGTCATTGGTTCGTAATATGAATAAGGAATAAAAATTTGACTGAACAAAATTATTATTTCTTATTTCCTAGGCTTATTTCATATTTCAGTGTTGTGTGCAAATCCATAAAGATCAATAGATTGAAAATTGTTATTCCTTATTTGTTATTTCATATCTTATTCCTTATTTTTTTCATTGTGTGATGTGCTGTACAGTTGCCACGGAGAAAGAACGTTTCGGGTCGCGCAGGTGCGCTTACGCGGTTGGCAATGATTGTGTAATACGCATTTGTACATTTCTAAAATATATACATTGACTAAATAAGATTAATTAGTCACTAAATTCCTCGTCTGAGCTGTTCTTCTCCTAAATTTATTATAATTTTTATGTATCTACTGGAATTTCCGAATTACCACGCTCAAAAGGCGATCTTCACATGCTTTTTCTCCGGGACAGCCGTAGTAACATGACAACCAATCAGAATATCGTTTCTTCGCGCTCTTGTAGTCATGTAGGTATCAAAATTTTACTCGGAATTGTCATCTCCGATAACAAATATGTAATTTTTGTGGTTTAAGTGCATATTTTTTATCGCTTACCAAATTACATCAACCTTTTATAAAAATAACCAAATTAGTGTGGTGTCACACTATGCGTTTTTACCGCTCCCGCTAAAACGGATGCGGTTTGACAGGATGAGATCTACTTGTCACACTATTCCGGTCTAACGGGATGCGTTTTTGCTATATTTTGGCAGTCTAAGTAGTGTCATGGCTCAATTATTGTTAAAGATGGCTTGAGGCGGAGGGGTTATTGCGAAAGCAGATATATCCTCAATATTGGATTGCTCCTTTTAATTCAGGACGAGAATCTAATAACAGCTCTCGAAGTTTTATGAAAAAATTTCGAATGAACAAGAAAAATTTTTTTTGTATATTACCGAATGTCCAAAAATTCAATTTCTACCCATGATTTCTCCCTATACAGTTTGTACTCTTTAGATTGTTTTTCCCGCAGTGCAGTTTTTGCATGCACGCACTCGATGAATAAACCCACATCAAACATTGTAAACCTAACAAAACACCCAGTTGCAACGCTCAGTGTGACAACTGATGACAACCAACGTGGTTTCATGTCATTGTGGTTGTCATTTCATCCTGCGCAGCGGCAGCAGGATGCGGTTGCATCCGGTTGGTGCGGCGAAAACGCATATATGTGACTGGTACAATTTAATAACGTGTGATATTATCATCCCGTCAAACAGGAGCGTTTTAGCGGGAGCGGTAAAAACGCATAGTGTGACACCACACTTACCCATAAATTAAAACAGAACTGTCACATAAGCTATAAATTACCCTACATTTAACAATCATAGGAAATAATATTTTGCAATGAAAAAACAAACCACTTGGATGCAAATAAAACGCAATACTCGCTTTGTGTTTACACGTAAAACTCAACCAGACTACTTACATAAATTGAAAGGAAAATTTGATTAACAACTAACGATCCGTTATCTACTTCAGGCGTCCGGACCAAAACATAAACGTCCACATCGACATTGTTTACATAGCAATATAATTATGCGATAGGATGTCGAAATAAATTCAATGATAACAGACATATGTTCATAGATGAGGCATTTTAAGACATATAAAGATTAAAGATACTATTTCAATAAGTCATGACGCAAATTATACCTGGGAAAAAAATAGTTACTGAAATCGCACACTAGAGGCAATACTTGCTTGAATACTTTACCGCACAACTATTTTTCCTGTTATGTCACCAGTTGGTATGAATTTCAAGTGAAATTCTTTAATAACTCGATGTGGAAGAGCTGAAGTTGTTTTGAAGGTTGTCCAATATTTTGCTTGTTGATGCAGGTGATGATATTTTAGGCATCAAAACCACAACAGCTGGAAATTATCGTTTGGGGTTGAGGGATTCATAGATTAGCGGTTCGCTAACAAAATAAAAACTATAGAACAAATTTTTCTGGTTAGTGTAAAAGAAGTTTAGGAAGCAGGTACCATCATTGGAGAAGTAGTTTTCAAACATAACTCTATGGAACATAAACAAGTTAAGAAGGTATTAGCAAAGAAGTAGCCATGGAAAAACGTTCAGCATCAAACGTAAAATTGATAAATTGCAAGTTTATTACAATAAGTGTAGTACTGTTTATTTATTTTTCTTGTGCATTAAAAAATTATTAATTGCAATACTATTGGTTTACATATTATATTTTATATAATATAAAATAAAATTTGAAGTGAATTAAATTGGCATTGCGCTCGACATTGCGGTTTTTGTACCGGGTGACCCAATAAGACTCTGGAAAATATTTTCAAGTTCTAAAAATGACCAACAGAGGGCGTAACTGCCATCTTAAATTTTAAAATTGCATTTTCTTTAAATTTCGCATAATAAACTAAAAAAAAAATTTTCACATTTTTAAAGAGAACCAGTTTATCTATCATTTTCGTAAAAACAAAACTCTGTTATTTCACAAACAAAGATGGTGTGGGGCGGTCAATTGTTTTTGCAATAACCTGTTTTAACAAATGTGGTATGGTTGAAAAGAGCATTCCTTTGGCAATGAGAATCAACCAAAATATAGTTAATTTAGTTGAATCCTTCTCCGCCAGGGGGCTAGTTTTAACACTATGTTCCAAAATCCTAAAAAAAGTCAAATGACTTTTCCTTTATGAAAAAGTAGCCAAATAATACCCAAAGAGGCCAGTGAAAACCGTTTTTCAAAATCTCGTTCCTAACCTCAAATATTCGGAAAATAAGAATAATTAATTAATTAATAAAAATGCTTAAATTGTATCTTACATTTACTTTTTACGTATTTCCGGTATTTGTCGATGGCGCGTAAGAAAAGCAACCTAGACTTTTAGGTAGGCCTTGGAAAATTAAACAAATGAAATAATAGCAGCCGTAAATTGTCAATTATTCTGCTGTTTACATTCAGAAAGTCCTGTTTTTTAAATTTGTAATCTTTTCTAAAATGCCGATTTCAAATCAAGAAGCATTTAATATGCTGATGATATATTTTGAGTATTTTCAAAATGCGACCATCGCTGCCCGCATCTTCTATTTGCGTTATCCGAATCGATCACGAACCATCGCCGCCAGCATATTAAATGCTTCTTGGTTAGAAATCAGCATTTTAGAAAAGATTGCAAATTCAAAAAACTGCACTTTCTGAATGTAAACACAGCAGAATAATTTACAAATTCCGGCTGTTATTATTTTATAATGCATCTTGTTTCATTTGTTTAATTTTCCAAGGCCTACCTAAAAGTGTCGTCGTGCAATCGACAAGTACCGGAAATACGTCAAATATGATCCAATTCAAGCATGTTTATTAATTAATCTCATTTTGCCAATATTTGAGGTTAGGAACGAGATTTTGAAATACGGTTTTCACTGGTCTCTTTGGGTATTATTTGGCTACTTTTTCATAAAGGAAAAGTCATATAATTTCATTTCTTTTTTTAGGATTTTGGATCATAGTGTAAAACTAGCCCCCTGGCGGAGAAGGATTCAACTAAATTAACTATATTCTTGTTGCCCAAGGAATATTCTTTTCAACGGTACCAAATTTGTTACAATCGGTCAAACGGTTAAGAAGTTACAGCAGGTTATTGCAAAAACAATTGAACGCCCCACACCATCTTTGTTTTTGAAATAAGTGAGTTTTTGTTTTTACGAAAATGATAGATAAACTGGTTCTCATTAAACATGTTTTAGTTTATTATGCAAAATTTAAAGAAAATGCAGTTTTAAAATTTAAGATAGCAGTTACGCGCTCTGGTGGCCATTTTTAGAAAAGGAAATATTTTCCAACGATTCTTCATAACCGATTTACCCAATAATTTTTTTCCCCCTAAGTAATACCACGAATGGTTCCCGAGATATGGCCGAGGGACAGTCTTATTGCGTCACCCGGTACTCTACAAGAAATTTACTGTAATGTTCCTGGGCTGCATTTCAGAGAATTTAAAAATTAAATAGCGATCATAAGCTGATTATTGCAATATTTACGTTTGTTACAAAATGACCCATAAATTTTTTTTGGTATTCATTATTTTTACCGAAAATATGTGTTGTGCATACGCAGTAATGGTTTTTGTGTTATTGTCTATATCGCAAAGTAAAAGTAAAAAAAAGTAACTAAATCCCTTTGTTATTTCCAATTTTATTAGGAATGATTTAATTATTTTGTTTCCGGTGTTGTTTATATTGTGAATATCCATGGTAACCAAATCAATACACTACCATCATGGCCGAGGAAACAAAATTTATAATTACCGAATTAAATAAATTGCTAAATAGAGAATATAATTTATCATCATTTGAGAGTTTATCTAAGGATGAGCTTTTGAGTATTGTGTGTGATGTGTTAGTTGTTTTGGACGTAATACCAAAAGGTGAATACGACAGTAATAGTGCAGTATCCATAATTTTTGACGCTTTACAAAATATAAAATATTCACCTCCCGATGATGTGGACCCCGAGGAGTTTTTAAATGGTATCTCGCTGGGAAATAAATCGATAATTCGTATTATTGTGCATTGGCTATTATCTAAACCGGAACAAGTGCGAAAAAGAGCCTACCTCTCGAAATATGTTGAGAAAATCGAATGCCCTCCGGAGATATTGGATGATGTGGAAGTGGGCGTATTATATGCACAGTACGAAAGTTTAATTGAAGAATTTTGGAAGGTTTACAATGAAAATAAAAAAGAAGAAAAGCTTGCAGTGGAAGCGGAAGAATTGCAGCATGACATATCGAAAATGGAAGAAGATTCTTTAAAATTGCATCAGCGGATTGAACAGCAAATGCGAAAAATAGAAAACATCCCTCACAAGGAAGGTCTAATCGCTATGGTTCGTTCGTATCGCAACGAGGTCAACGAACAAAATAAATTAGAACAACAAATCTTGGAGCAACAAAATCTCGAAGTTCAGATGGAAAATGAATTAAAGGAATTGAAAGAAATCCTCCTTCATAAACAAACACGTCACGGGAACAAAGTAGAATTGGTGCAATTAATTGCAGACGAAGTAAATACAAACAATATAATCGCAGATCAGCTGGCGGACGAGTTAAAGCATGTCAAGCAAGAAATGGACTTGTGCGAATCGCTGATACGAGGCCCCGAACCTAGTGAAGCTAATATAAATGATTTAACTGCAGAGTTGGCGAAACTGAATGACGAAGTTCAAAACTTAATTGAAAATAAAATGTCTACAATAGATGTCAGCTCAGATAATCAACTGGTCGCTTTTCGTAATCAAGCTACGATCATCGCTAATAAGAAACAAGAAGTCTCAAAGTCGGTTATGGAATTAAAAAGTAAAATGAATTCGATTCAAGACGAAATTGTTGAAAAGGAAGATTTATTAAAAACACTTATTGGAGGGCCTCTTCTTCAAGGGGATAACTTAAAAAAGTATGTCTCAAAGCTTCGCGCACAAAACATTCTCTACAAAGAATATAAAGGTCAACTAAGCGCTTTAACTACAGAAATCGGCATACTAAACCGAACCGTTGATATTTTAAAATCCACCGATCCTTCATTTGACGAACTGCTAAAGGGGGAGAGCGTCAATCACGAAGCGCACTTCGCAAAAACATCGGCAGACACTAACGATTTGAAGGAGGAATTTAAAAGTATCTCCGAAGAATCGGATCGCGTAAGAGCAGAAACTGCCCAACTTCGAGAGGAACTCAAAGTCTGTATGGCGGACTTGGAACCGATCCTGAACGAATACAATCAGTATAAGGAAAACTTCGAAGAAGTTACGAAAATGTCGTCAAATCAGTTAAAGCAAATCAACGAGGAGATATCTACTCTGGAAGAGGAAATTAAAACGCAAGAAGAAAAGTGGAAATCGATGCAAAGGGAAAATCAGCGAAAAGAGGAACTGCTCGTTCGATTAAGTGAAGATATTATAAATTCTGGAGACGTTCTTAATACGCAACCGAGCCAAGTTAGTATCTTGGAAGGCAAGTTGGAGCAGCAAGTAAAAATCAAGAATATGTTGGCCGATGAATTAAGTAATTTGGAACTGCAAAAGGTGAGACATTGATATTTAGATGGCGGTAAAATTAATTAGTTACTTTCAGGTGGAAAGTCGTGAAATGCTCGTAAGGTTGGATGAAATTATTATGCTGTTGAAAGCCAAATTGAAGTACTCTTCAGCTTAATAGGTTTTTATTTCATTGTATAGGAGTGTAATAACGTTGATTGTTGATATCTTGTTATTTTGATATGTAGAATACAATATTGAATTAAATCGCTAACATTCTGTTGGTTAAGAAGATAAAGATAGTGGTGAATTTGAATTACAGTAGAACCTCACTAATCGGAATATGTCAACATATGCTTATACTGCACGGTTTTTGAATTTTTTTTAAAACAACAAATCTACTCCTTCACCTTCCTGTATCAGTTTTCTAAATAGTTGATAATATGTATTATGTCTGTGAAGGTAACTGCAATCACTTGTAAATATGAATGTTTTTATATGCAAATCTTTCATTTCAGAGGTTTGTTTAGGCCTCATTGTATGAGATCTTGATATAAAAAATGGGTGCCCCCAGCTTATGGCAATGGCTTATACAAAAGTTACCACAGATTAAAAAATTACTAATAAAAACCAAAATATTCTATTGAAAATAACACGACGTGGGCTGTCATACACAATTTAAAACAATATACTGATCTATGCAGATTGTCAAAATCACAAAAAGGAGTACAGTACCAATCCAAATATTTATATAACTGCCTTCCTGATATAAGGGTATTAGATTACCCCATATTTAAGAGACGCATAAAAAAATGTTTTCTATGTAGTGCATTTTATTCTTTTAACGAGTTTGTGACTAGTGGTAGATTATGTAACTAGTTAGCGTTTTTACGGCATTTTTACTGTTTTTACCTGTCTGTTATACACAGTGTCTATTTTTCACGTGCCACTATGGGGATCTCACTTATCTTAAGAGATAGAAAGTTGCCAATTTTCGTGCTGAATAAGAATCTGAAAAGAAATTTGAAATATCTTCAATAGTTTTGAAGATATCGAAAATTTCTGATTTTCGTTTTTAATTTTTTTATGATAAACTAATCTAATCGTAATAGACATTTCTAATTAACGCATTATTCGGACACTTTTTAATGGAGATTTCAAATATGGCATCCTGTTTTTAATAACTTTCAAGATGACGGAGAAACACGTGGCAACTTTAGTTTTTCTTATGGGCACACATTTTGAGATTACGTCTTTTTTTCTCTTTACAACGATGTATCACACATGGTGGTTCAGTATCACATTTTTCCTAAAAATACAATTTTTAGTTTTTTGAGAAGAGTGCTTTGGAAAAACAAAACGTTCTTTTGACACCCTGTACTATGCAATGTGTTACAACTAAAGTAGGCGTTCTTGGGAATTTTTGTAGTTATCATAACTGTGTTGGTTAACAAATATTAAGCTTTTTTCTCAGGATTACCATGGTCTAATTTTAATTAGAAACACAGTTTCACAGTGTGTCCAATATTTAATATCAAAAATTGAATGTTTAATACCAGATATAAAAAAATTTGCGGTGAATAGCACAGATACCACGCGCACCACTTTACATGCGCGATTCTGCCCTTTTATTGCTACGTGTACGAAATTGGGTTCCAATTGGTTCAGCCGTTTAGTCACAAATTAGAGTACAGACAGACAGACAGACCAACCAACATCATCAACATTTTGTGTGATCGGATTCCTGGTGCCTTAAAAGGTGTATTTCCATAAAAAAACTACCACAATACAATACCTCCCTTACCAACGTGCGGGTGGTAAAAATACATGATAAGCGCCCTTTGTAAATTTACATGTAGAAATTTGATCAGCCTTGACATTCATTATATCTTGGAAATGTCAATAAAGCGCCTAGAAGAATGAAAAAGTGAATGAATATTTTCTTTTATTTTTAGCATGTCCCAGAGGAACTTCACGAAATGAGCAAAAGGTTTGCAGCATGGAAGGAGCGCAAAGATCAAGAGAGAGGTGGTCGAGGAGGGGGTCGATTCGGTGGAAATCGCGATTTTGGAGGAAATCGTGATTTTGGTGGAAATCGCGATTTTGGTGGGAATCGAGACTTTGGAGGCAATCGCGGTTTTGGTGGTGGAAATCGCGATTTTGGATACGGAGGCGGCGGCGGCGGTGGTGGTGGTAGGTTTGGAGGAGGTGGCGGTAGAAAATGGTAAATTAGGAAACCCAAGAGTAAACTTTTTCCTTAATTTTAGTCCATATCTCTCTTCTTAAACGATCTGTGTTATAACAGTATTTATCTACTTAACTTATTTTTATGTGGAATATCTCTGCTAATGTACATTTTGAATTTTGAGATATTTCACATCTCCTTCCAGTTAGATGATAAAATTGTGAATGTCATCGTTTATTAAACGAATTATAATCTCTTTTCTATAAAATTAGTAACGTTTCAATACGTTATGAATTACTTGATTTTGTTTAGATGAACAACATGTAAAATTTTCAGTTTTATAAAGGAATTTGCTCCAATGATTTTTTATTTATTTGCAGGGCGAAATAAACATATTACTTTTAGTTTGTTCTGTAAATCTAGCATAGCGGCTATACCTACCTACATACATTTTGATCACGGTTCAAGTTTAAAAATGTAATAGACAGCATTGTGCCTACGCCAAGGTCTGTGTTAGGCCGCTAAACGTCTCCGCTGGTGGAAAAGCCCTGAGAACCATGGGGACCCGCTGCCGGTGGCTTCGAATAGCAACCGGTAAGCCCCATACTGCTGCTTGGTTTCTGGATTCACATTATGCCACTGCAGCGGCGGTGCTTCTTGCTCTTTTATGTATTTTTTTTATCAGTTGGCAGTAGAGTATTGCCAAGGGAATGTGTTGTTTAGCATATTAACAAATGTGAAAAACATAAAAAGTTAGGAGGTATGCTCGGAGGTATGTATACGTTTATTGTACGCACTAATACTACTCTATTGTACTCGTACATGTTTTGTCCATCAGAAAATCAGTTAGGTCTGGGGGCTCTCCTATCTTGCTCTAATACATTGGCGGAAAATTTTGAATTGAATTTAATGGACGTCTGATAGTGTAGTTGGTGTGTCGGAGACAGGTTAGGCAGATAGGCAGTTTGGCGTATCAAATCTAAGGAGTACAGTGACATGGATAAAAAGGGGCAGGCGCATATGAGCGTTTAAAGGAAAATTTCAAAGAAATTGATGCAACGGCAAACAGAGAAACAGTAAAAAAAAATTGTTTGAGACGTTCCAATCTTTTATTTTTCTTAACAAGACAGCGTGCACAAATTGACAAAAAGTGTAGTACCTCCATGACGATGTGCGAAATACACAGATATCTCTGACCCGCGTGAACGCTCTACAATTGCAATGTTTTCATTTAGTCTTAAAACTGCATGTACAAAATTTATTACGGCACGAACTATTTATTGCTCCAGCGTCGAAATTGGAACTACTGATTTTCTTTTTGCTTATACAGGATGTCTTAAATTGAGTAGGATAATATAGCTATCTTTGTTATTATTATACTTACAGATTCGGTTAAATTGGCAAAGTTGTGTAGTTTTTAATGCTAATCGATATTCCGATGTGATATGTTGAAAAAAATAAAAGTTGCAAGATTCGATGGTATAAATTCAATGGACATAGAAAAAAATTCAAAATGGCGGTTTTCGAGTATTGACATCACCTTTCGTATTTTAAATGGACGCCGTATTGGATTTTTAGATCACTCGATAGATAAAAAAATTACAAAACCAGTGATACTAAACACTTGGTATTTCATCTGGGAACCAACTTTGCATTTTTGCCTTGAAGTTTACAATGTATTTCTTACGGCAGTAATTCCATGGCTGATTGTGATTGAAACCAAATTCGTTCGTTTATTGTATCACATGGTCACCATCAATACGGCCATGGAATTATTGCCATAAGAAATACATTGTAAACTTCAAGGCAAAAATGCAAGGTTCATTGGTGGTGATCCGAGTGGTCTCGAGTCTTCTCGCTTCACGCCGTACTTCCATGAAAGATTGCGTCACATCCGCCTTCGTTCTTTATCGCCGATGACTAATTTTTCATGGCGCCTCGATGTCTATTGGCATTTTTGGATATTCGCTACAAGTAAAACAGGGACACCTCCCCCCCACTGTTGACCCTGGGACACCTTGTCCCCCCCGCTGACGTCATCCAAGGGCATGGCCTTGGGTTTTTCCCAAGGTCATGGTCTTGGGTTTTCCCAATGGTGTGGCCTTGGACTTTCACTTCGGGGTTTTCCCCAATGACGTGGCCTTTGACTTTGACCGTGGGTTTTTCCCCCGAAGCCGTGGCTTTGTGATTTTCCATGGGCTCGGATTTTGGACTGAAGATGCAGTTTTGGATTCAGGAGTGAGATCAGGGTCTTGGATTCTGGATCATAGGTGTGGTTTTGGCAAATTGTACATTTCAAGCAGGCGAGCAAGCAGAGCAGATCAAAAAGCTTGGGTACTTACAGATAAAAAATTTTCTAGTTCTTGTTTGAAGATCCTTATTCACAAACACTTGAATTGTGAAACATAAAAGGCACTTCACCTCACCACACATGCCTTTTATCCTTCACCAAACTTAACATCCTTACACTCCCATGTGTGTATATATTTACCTGTCTAACACACGCAAAGAAGGCCCTTCCAACCCTTCTTAAAAACAGTGATAAATGTCATTACAATGTACGGACTAAAAACAACCTTGTCGAAGACTACTATCGGCCGGTAAAAGGACGAGACATTAACTATTACATGAAAAAATGTTACAATGCTCTTCCTGACTACATCAGGGATCTGGAAGAACAACAATTCAGAAAAACAATCAGAGTGTTCCTTGGTGCGAAAGCATTCTATAGCATCAATGAGTACTTGAACTACAAGTTTGATGGCTCCGAACAATAAAGTGGCAATTGTGCTTCCCTATACTGTGACGTGTGGAAATACTTTCTGTATAAACACCACCAATAAATATTATTATTATTATTATTATGTTTCACAATTCTACAGACATAACGTCCAACTTCAACATTCTTCATTACATTTTTCATGGTTCGTTTTTTAATTATACTGACATATCGCCTGATGATGGACGAAGAACGTCCGAAATCGATAGCGACCAACTAACTAATATTTCAATAAAAATTAGTGTAATACAATTTCGGCAACTAATGTTGAATTCTTTCTGGGGCAAACTTGGCCAACGAGACAATTTACCCAAATCCAGCATTGTATGTGAGCCAAAGGACTTTTTCAAATTGTTTACAGATCCTTTGGTTCAGGTACAATCCATTATACACGTTAACCCATAGCCGCGTACACGACAGCTCATGCACGTTTAGAGCTATATAGTTATTTGGAGAGGTTGGGTCGTCGCGTACAGCATAATATTTATGACAAAACCTGGTGAGTGAAATCCTCCTTGTGGAGATTTCCTAGGCGAGATAACTGACGAGCTGGAGGCGTACGGCGAAGGAAATTATATAACAGAATTTGTTAGTGCGGGACCGAAAAACTATAGCTATAGAGTGTTTTCAACCAGTGATCAGACAATTAAAACAGTGTGTAAGGTGAAGGGTATTACGTTAAACTATAAGAACTCGCGTACCATAAACTTTGAAGTGATGAAGAATATGGTGCTTAGTAATAGTAAAGACTCGATTTATGTATATAACGATAGTGCTACAGTACTAAACAACCTTACCCAACGTGTTTAGGTGCTTGTAGCACATTGTCAGATGACAGAAGTTGTATGAAATTTTGAATACGTCATATAATGATAAATACAGCAATGTTTAGAAATATTTTCTTTTTTTTTATTACAGTGGTATATAGTCTACACATGATGTTAGAATTACGAGAATTCAAACTTTAACTATACCATGAGCTCTTGTTGATCAATGATTGTTGACTATAGCGCATTTGGTTTACCACATAGTGAGTATCTTTTATTTCCTGACTGGCATCGTCATCACTATATATGGGCAATACATCCCCACTTTCTTTCTACAAAGTAGTAGTTAACTAATAAATACAACATACCTTGTATGTAAACCTACCCCACTAGCACTGGGCACGCATGTATTGAAAACAACTGTATTCACACATTTGTAACATCCTGATTCATGTTCAGCAGATTCCTTAAAGCAACATGCGCTACAAATGGAGACTAGAACTGCTAATGGATACGCCAAGAAGAAGACTGTATTCAGGAAGAACTCCGTTTTCCTTTAGAGAAAATAATAAAAATGAGCTACTTCATTTTGTAATTGTACCCATATAATATACACACTTAGGTAATGCTCGAACAGTACGTTGTCCAGTTTCTGGATGCACTGGCCAACCGGTCTGATCATACACGACAGGAATATGAGCCAGTTCACCTTCTTGGTAACTGTCAATTGGGCGTGGCAAATCTATTAATGCCCCTAAACTCCACATACCTACCGGAGCACAACAACATAATCCTAATATTCCTTTAATGATACCTGAAAGTATGCAAGTGTGTTACTGCCAAGGCAGCCCAAAAGCCTTTGAGAATGGCAAAATTAAATTCATCTCATTACAGTTCTCAACTTTCTCTGATTTTCTTACTAGAGTACCTACGCTTATAATACATGTACTACTCTTTCGATTTGAGAAATCTAAATAAAAGCTCTTGAAAAATCATGAATTACACTAATAGTTTAAGAGTTTTTGGGTTTTTGAAATCTATCTCAAGCGTTCCAGACAGGCACGCACAGTAAATAGGATAGGCGCACTTCGGCGTGCCGACATTGCGATTAAAAAAACACTTTTGGCGTCATTCCTCAAGAGTTACGCGTATTTTATCAGTGACTCATAAGGTGGATAAAATGAAACAAATTTATCAGTCTCCATGTTTGAGCCTGTGCAGTTCAAATTTCAGAATTGTTACGATCAAAATTAAAACTACAGACGTTTACTAAATGTTAATGTCTTTTCTTTGCCTCTTCTGCAACATATAAAATCACAATGTACCTATTGTTGCTTACCTAAAATGATCAAACACATCAACGCAGACAAAAGCATTAATTTACCCAATAAAGAAGAAGATATTTTGAGAGATGACTTATCTGGCACTGGACAATTTTTAGTCTCTTCTCTCTCATTTCTTTGAAAGGATAAAAGTGAAGAATTACTGTCCTGGGCCATGATAACTAAATAAAGAAAAAAATATAACTTTTTCCACATATTTATAACGTTAAAAAATTGAAAGGTGTCAAGTTGACAAAAACAATAAATAAAAATCATAATCACTAAATGCGTATAATTTGAGCAACAACACTATCCGATAGACTACCAGATGACACTTGTGGGGCTACTTCCATTCTGCAAAACGTCCCTCCAACATAACCTTTTGTGATTCTTTCGGGATTGATCACCACACATCCATTGATGTACTAAGAATAAAACATGTTAATGTATTTTACTAAAACGTGATACTTACTTTACTGAAATAGCGAAGGCTTGATGGCACAATCAGTATATTGGGAATAAAATTGATTCCAGCGTGTTGTTCCAGTAACTCATAATCAATAAAAACGTCTTCATTTGGAGGATACAAAGGATAAAAACTTTGTTGGCATAAAAGATGTGAAGCTAAGCGACTGATACGATCACCTCCCTGCGTTCCATATGAACACTCCTGCTTGCTCAGATGAAGTAGTACATCGGTAGACGTCGCTCCCAAAGTTAAGCCTTCTATATTCAGTATACTAGGATCACCTACACACTGAAGGTTGGGGTATGTCTTGCGAAGTTTGTAAGGCGGCGTCGGGAAAACCACATGATGATGGGCATCTTTCGCCGAAGGCACTAACACAACCTTAATGTTTAACCTGATATAAACAAAAAAGTTGATTACGATGCTAATATAACATTTTTTTACCCTTCTAATGGTGACATAACATTTTGTATTAATGCTTCAAAGAATGTATCGTATAGCTCCATCATTGTTATGTCCGCTACATTATCTTGCGAAGCATCCACGAATGGCCCAATCAAAATCAAAACGTGAGGAATGTGATTCGTGACATACTTTACTAATTCTTGTAATGGTGCGTAGGATAAATTACTAGAAACAGTGAAAGGCCCTACAGCAACCACTATATGAAGGGACCCTGAAACAGAATAAAATAATCATAAATACTGATTCAGTATAAAAAAGTTCCAAAACATTATTTTCTCAGCAAAAAACAATACCAATGTTCCGTAATATATATATTTTTTAAACTGGGTATTTGAGGACGTTTGAACATAAAAATAACGAATCACTAGGTACCTACTCTAATATTCACAGATATTGCAGAGACATCAATGTTTGATATCTAAAGAATGAGTTGGAATTTCTTTTTACTTTCCAAAAACTCCCAGATTATTTCCAAATTTCATCAAGATCACCACTCACCAGCGTTTATGGGTGTACCATCTGAAGGTAGGAATTTTGTACACAAAGTATTTAGTTTGTTACATTCATTTCATTGAATAATTTAAAGATATGAGACTTATATTAAAAGTTTTTGCGAAATTCTAGACCCTTTATTCAGTAAGCTTTAGATAATCAAAATTATTTTTGCATAAAAATAACAAATGAACATGTTTCTGACGCACAAATTCGGGACAACTTTTATTTCAACCATTTTCCGGTAGAATCAATATTTACAGACATATAATTATAGAATATCCCATAGCTAAGAAATAAAAGCACAGTTCCCTTGCTTGTTTTTGACACAATGCGCTAAAGTGGAGACGCTTAGGTGAAAGTGAATACAGTGAGAGATGTAAAATTGCGGCTCAGTGTATCGCACTTGCATTAGTACAGTCTTATGGTGCTTTCTTACTAAAATCATGTATGCGCGCATTTCTTTCAAAACGTAGGCCAACCCCAAAATAAATTGTTAAAGACTCCGCGATAGCATACATCTTGAATCGTTTAAGAATTATAAGCTTTCAATGGCTTTACAGACGTGAAAATAACACACTCACTGAATTAAATGCTTATTATTCATAAGCGATTGAAGATAGGCACATGCCTTCGCGGTTTTCTGTATGAAATCTCAGTTAACTGATCTATGGTTGAACTATCGTAATACGATTGATCTTAAGGCTGGACAGTAGACGTGTTCCGTTGCTTGATTTCGTTCCACGATATCTGAATTCTAGGTGAAGATGAAGAAGGGGTCGAATATTCCTGTGAAAGGTGAATGCTTCAGCTGACAATAACGCCGGGGTTTACTAAAATGTTTTAAAATAATCTTTTTTTTTAAGGTAACGTCGAGGGCTGTTAGGTTGTCACATTTTGGAAAAGAAAAAAGGAAATAAATTTTCCTGGCGTTATTGCCTAGATATTAAGTTTACGAACTTTGGAAATTGTTCCAACTTCATTTATAGATAAGTGATCTTGGAAAAACAACTTAAAAGTTTTCCTTAAAAGCGCGAAAAGATAGATTCCGGCGCGCCGCTTGGTTTATACAGATAGAAAATGTGCATTATTGGTCTAAGTTTATGTTTCTGCCATAAATCACAAATTAATATTATAAATGGCCAAATTTAGCGATTGACAATAGGCAACTTTACACACTCAATTCTGTATGTACTGTCCAGCCTTAATGTTGTTATATAGAGGTACCTTAAACCACCTCGACACGTTATTTTACTTAAATTATTTAATATTGGCGCGCGTGATTATTGTTCGATTTTAAAACGTTGTGTTACCATCAACTGTTTAACATCTAACTAATTACTTAATTGAAATTGAAACAACATTTTTACGTGGACTGTTAGATGTTATCTTAATTCAGAAAAAAACGATTGTTAAAAATTGAAACAGTTAATTGAAGGTCAGGCAAGTGTTTTTTTTCTGTCTGTGGCGTTTAATATTAAATTGCTTTTGGATAGATAGAATATGGGTAGTGTTTGATAAAGTTAGGGTTTAATTTTAGGTTTTAGGTGTTTTGCACGTATGTGTATAAACCCCTCGTCGTCGTTCATCTAATCTTTGTGAGCTGCCACGCGGGCGGCTCGGGTTCGATTCCCGGATGATGCAGAATTTGTTTAATTTTATATACAGTCCACTTCAGAGTGAGCGCCTTATTTTTTTAGCCCCACTATAGGTAATCCTCTAAAAATATTTGACAGTAATATGTTTCACGACATTCTCTACACGGGTGATATCAGATTTTCAATTGGACGAATTATTTCAAAATAGCGACTTGTAACTTTTTTTTAATGGAATGCCATCATTTTTTTTTATTATTGAGATCCTAAAAACCTTCTTTTTACGATAGTAATTCGTTTTTATTTTTGTACAAATGTGTAGACACAAAAGAAACAATAACGCTACTGGATATTTGGACAAAAATAACATAGAGTGTAAAACATTCATTCGCTACTAGATTAAAATGTTGGTTTAATTTTTGATAGAGAAAGACATGCATTTTCAAGAAAAACGCAATACTATCGTAAAAAAATATGTTTAGGATCTCAATAATTAAACAAGTACAAATTGTGCACAACCCTTGTTCAGATAATGCGCATTTTTTTAAACAGCCCTACGAAATTTCTTCAATAAATAAGAAAGTTGGCACTGTACATCCTACACAAAACCACATTTGGGAAATGGCGCTACATTTCCTTTTATTCCAAGTGACTATGTATCAAATTTCATTTGAATTCCTTCATAAATAAGAAGGTTGGCATTGCGCATGCGCAAAACCAAATTTGGAAAATGGTGCTACATTTGCATTTATTCCAAGTGGCTATATATCAAATTTCATTTAAATCCCTCCATAAATAAGAAAGTTGACACGCATGCGCAAAACCAAATTTTGAAACTGGCGTTAAATTTGGTTTTATTCCAAGTGGCTATGTATCAAATTTTATTTAAATGCCCAATGGTTATATTTCTTCCAAACGTCCCAATCGCCCTTTGTAGGTACTTTCCTTTGACAATTCACTCTTAAGATATAAGGAATTATAACCGATCACAACAGTCAACAAGGGATCGAGGAGGAAGACTATGGTTAGTATAAATTAATTCCTTTCCTTGAGACCTTTCATTAGAGTATCATGAAGGATAAAACTAGTTCCACTCCCCCCCTTGAGACCTTTAATAGAATCCAATGATAAAATAAATTTTTAACCTCCCCCCTCTGGCCCCGTCGCTTAGTGATTTCGATGAGACCTTTCATTAGAATACCATGAGGGGTAGAACATGTGTCTACCCCCCCAAATTTCTACAGTTTAACTTGTAACCACTAAAGGCATGCGTATGCAAAATCTAAGACCAATTGGTTGTCGTATGTAAAAGTTATGCACGTTTTACTTTCAAAAACAGCATCTCAGGAAATAATTCGTGGGGGGGGGGGGGCGACAGCGAAATTTGATGGCCGTCTGGCACACCTTCAAGGTATCGGCCACCTACTGCAAAAAATCCCAGGACTCTAGGACCATTTCCCTAGAAGTAGTTCAAAACGGTAGAAGTGGGTCCGGACGGACGGACAAAACGATTGACGTAGAGTCAAATACAAATTAGAGAAAAGTTGCGCAATTAAAGCGTAATTTATCATGCTATAAAGAAAACCGGAAAATTCCGCTTACATTAAAATTTCGGAAAAATCGCATATTATTTTCAAAATTGAGAGTGATTTGAAGTATAATGTAGGTTTAGGCGCCGATATTTAATTTTATTTTACTTTAGGAATTCAAGTTAATCGAGGTAACTTTTGTCTTTTAAGCGCAAATTGAGGTGCGCAGGCGCTCGTCTAATTGTTAATGCCTATATTTGACTAAATTCAGTGAAGTATCGTAGCCTTTTTTAAAAAGAAATTGGTAATCTAGAGAGGTTAAGTACTTATAATTACATGCAGTTCAACTCTTAATTTCTCATTTGTGAATTTGTGTACAATAATAATTACGCCTTGCGATTGAAAGTATACTTATTTGCCGCTCTAAATCAATTCGGCATTTAGTACAAAAATAATATTAAAATTGAGGTTATGTTAGCCTAACTGCAGACAAATTAAGTTAGTTAAATAAATATCGGTGCATAAACCCACCATAAAATGCACTAAAAAGCAGATTCGACGTAAGGAGAGCAACCTTAACATTACTGTTGCAAATAATACCTAAACGCGGTCGAAGCCTCTAATCGTTTTGGTGCCAATCGAATTCTTGCATTTCTAACCAAACGATAAGAAAAAAGGTAATTAGAAATTCAATATACTGCAGATTAAGTACATTTTTCCCACAATTCACCTGGATCCAATTAACTTGCTAATTAACGATAATTATGCAAAAATAAAATAATTAATTATTTCGTTATTTATACATAAAGTTACACGCACGGTATTTTTGCTTTATCTAATTAATATATTTATTCACCAAAGTGCGTAACAAATGTAAAAAAAGTTCAATTTAAACATAACAAGAGAGTTAATTAAGGTAAATTAGTACTAATTACAGTAACCTCAAAGAGATGATGCAAGCTTCATAAAGTGATTAGACCCAATAGAAATTAGATCTCGTAAGATTTATGTTCTGTGCCACTCTCTCCATCATACTTTTATTGAATTTATCTCATTTTATTTAAATAAATAAAAATAAATAGGAAGGCAACAGTAAAGACTACCATAATTAAATATCATTAAGTGTAATTTCTGTGTTTTTAGTGTTTTTCACATTGTCCTGGAGTGTAGATAACCGAGAAGTGCTAATTTAGGCAAAGGCTCATTATGTTTCCTAATTACAAATGACCAAAATGATTTAGAGGAATGGATCATAAGAAATTAATTTCTGTAGTGGCCCAATGTACACCATTATGGGACAGAAGCCACGATAAATTTCGAGATCAAGGTTTTAAGGCGACATTGTGGAATAAAATTGGTGTAGAATTGAAGTCAACAGGTAAACAACAATGTTCACTTACAATTACTACCAAGTTTTCCGTGGCAGGGCCTGCTTGTCGTGAGGCTTTCAAAGCACTTAGAGAGAAATATATACGGGAAAGGGAAAAGCTACAACATTACGGAAGCAACTACCGTACGTGGGAATTATTGGAATGCTTACAATTTTTAGATCCTTACATAATAACGAGAAAGTCATCCAATGTCGCTTGGATTCAACAACAGCAAACAGATCCATTCGCATCGCCTATCAAGCAAGATCCAACATTGGAACACAGTGATCACGAGGAACGAACGTTAGATGACTCCGACAATGGAAATTCCAGCACAATGGAGGCTACGGCTTTTGATTTCTGCAGATCGCTTATTAAACTTGTCAGAGAATCGCATGCATTGTGGGATCGACACTGTCGAGACTACCATGACAAGCAACTGAAAGAACGTCTTTGGACTTCAATTGCGCAAATGCTAAAGACAGATGGTAGGTGCGTAGTATCACAGATGTAAATGTACTACAGATAGCTCATCACAGCTATCAACTGTCATTTGGATGCGAGTTAAATACAAAGTAAAATCTGCCAACTATCACAATTTTTTCCTTTTTTAAACAACTCTTCATACAGAGCTGGCTATATGTATGTACAAAATAAATTCATTTTTAGGGTAAACAACAGGTCGATTTTTATTCTTAATTTAACAATTTATAGTATGAAAATATCACAAGTTGAAGCAGATCCCGCCGCCATCTTTGAAACTTTTGTCAAATTTAGCACCTGACTTAATTTCCAAATTTTGATCTATTTTGATAAAATATGATATTGCTGCTCACAGACTATTTAGCCACTTTAGATGTATAAAGCATTACTATTATTCCATTCCACGGAATGAAATTTATGTAATTTGCTGGTATAAAAAATATAGTAAGTACAAGTTTTTGTACTTACTAAAATTGTTTGCTAAAAAAATCATATTAATATTGACAGTAATATTCCTAACTGACATTGTTAAACACGATGTAACTACTGTTTCAAGTATGGTATAGTCCGTCCCACCTTGACTTTCAGGACAGGGAACATAAGGCAATGCAATCCTAATAGGAGTTTTTAGCACAACGATGCCGATTTTATCCAAAAGATACGCCCATTTTTTTCAAATCATATTCTGATGACATTTGGCATCACTGTTGACCATAAGTGACTGCAAAATCAAGGTGAGATTGAGTATATTTAACCTGTTGTCATTTTGCTGCCACTGTTTTTTGTGGGTTGCCTTTGAGAAACATTGAACTGGTTTCAACAGAACTTGAATAGGCTTGTTTAGTTCTGCATTATTTAGGCGAAACAAATTTATTGAGATTGAAAGGTATATTTCCGAGTACAAACGATGCAAAGTGCCAATTACCATAGAACAAATGTAGTAAAGAAGAAGTGGACGCTGGGAGGTTCTTTTTTTTGCTCATGTATGAAGTCGTACAACGGAGACTGATTGTGAAAACATAATAGCACATCTCTTTCCTTTTTAAGTTATCACATTAACAGTTCCAGATGAAGTGATAGACAAAAAGAATGATGATTTCGTAAAGACAAAGCTAATGAGAATAAAAATACGCCATCGAACTGCTTAACCGGAATTTGCACCTACACATTTTTTTAAATGGAACATCCTATATATTTTTTGTTGTTGAATACGAAATAAAAAACTACAATTAAAAAACCAAGAATTGAAGCCATTTACCATTTGGCAATTGAACATAAAACTAAGTACTGAGTGTTATTTTAATTTTTTTCTGTGTTTATCATTAAAGAAGGAACTTTGTACGGGATGTTTGTATTGAGTACAATACCCAATTTAAAGATTAAGTTCCAGATAACGGAGATAATTATTCATTCTAAGACTGTTGCATATACAGGGCTAATTTTTTTGCTTATTTTATGACTAAAAGTTCATATAAACATAGGTCCACAAACGCTTTGTTTATTGATGTAGGGGTGTTATACACTTAAACCTTTTTTTACATATGCAAACACAGTAGGTACAATCAAAATGCGAACTGTCAAAACTAATAAAAACCAGAATTTACTCAAATAAAGGGCCATTTTAAAAATTTTACTTTCATTTAGTCAACTACCGAAATTTGATTTTTATTTTTTCTTAATAACGGTCACAAATATGAAAAAATTACAAGAGACCAAAAAGTTTCCAAACAAACTGGAAAACCAAATTCTTATTTTACAATCCACCCGTGGTGCACTGAGAAAAAGTTCAGGGATAGAAAATGGAACATGGCCCCTGAAAAAACAACAACCTGTAGGTTCTTACTCCCATTGACATAACCAATGATAACTGTAACTTATATTTAAAATTTGAGAAAAATAAATAAAAAAATGTAGAAGATATAAAGAAAAATCTTAATAAATCTTGAAGATCAGTAACAAAGCGTTGTGGACCTATGTTTATGTAAACATATCAGTAGGATTAATTTAAAACCTAATAATTTTCAACATTTTTCTAAAACAATTGTTAATTAATCAAACCCACTTTCTATAACTTCTCCAAATTGTTTGTAATTTTTGTACCATGTGTCCTGTTTGAGATTGAGTGTATCTCAGCTGTTTTGCGACCTTGTGCCACTTTTTTGTGAAAATTGTAGTACCATAAACAGAACCAATCTAGCTACATTTGTTTCTGAGATACTTGGTAAAAAGAACAGTTTTTCCAGAATCCAGTGGTGTACACAAGAAAAAAATTTTGGACCACCGTTTCTGAGATTTGACTTATAAATAATTGGTATTTTTTAAATGTATATCTTAACGTCAATTTTTTGCATTTGTTTTCCTGATTATATTGATGTATCACAACATATATTTTTTTATATAATTGTATGTATCTTATACAATGTGTCCCCGGATTGACTTCACTATATGGGTAATTGTCAAAAATCTCGTTTTGATATTTTGGAATTCCAGCCTGCTTGGATGAATAGAATTTCAAGCACATTTTTGCCTTTTAAAATCAAAGATAGTCGTGAAAATTGATAAAAAAATAAATGTAGGTTGAGTAAAGTGCTATTTCGGTCGATAATACCACCAACTGTTATTAAGAAAAGTTGTTTAGAATATGCAAAATTTCACAAATATTGGATCACTTTGATTAAATCAGTATTTGATTTGTAGTCTTGCACGTTAACAATAAAAGATAAATACAATTGATTTCAAATATGTAGATTGTTTTAAGGTGTCACTTTAGTTGAAATGGCTGGTAATAACATTTCATTTGTTTTATTTACACATAATACTTGTTTCTGTGTTGCTATCAAATACCTACTGATTTAATCAAAGTGATCCGATATTTCTGAAATTTTGCATATTATAGCCTACTAAAAAACAATAATAAATAAGTGTTTTATTTTTGGTTCGTGACTGAAAAAAAAACATAGGGTGTGATATATCAATGTAATCAAACAAAAGAATGCAACAAAATTCACGTTAAGATATACAGGGTGTTGCACTTAAAAATGCCAACTTTGGGTCAAATCTCAGAAAAGGTGGTCAAAAATTTTTTTACTACGCCACTGGATTCTATGTACAAATATCTAGAACGGACAGTGTTTACCTTTTTTCTATCTTACATGGGTGGTAAGATACGACAACATCCCAAAAAATTGTTCATTTCACTCTCTGTTTCGAAAACGAACGTAGCTAGATTGAATCTGTTTGTAGTGCTAAGTCTTTTAATATGCTATATCTAACAAACAAAAGACATTAAAAAATGGTCACAACCGTTTAGAAAAGGGGAATTAAAATGATATAAGAGAGAACTCGTCTCCATGGACCCCCTAGGTCCCACCTACCCCAACTACAAAAATTAAATAGCTAACCTCTACTTGTTATACATTATTGAAAAGCCTATAAAAGATGCTATCTAACCGTGTAAATAGTAATTGTACAGAATGTGTCAATAATTTACATATTTAACCTTTCAAAAACAAACAGACCTTACTTGATACAAAGGTAAAATCTTACAATGCTCCGAAGGCCAATACTACCTTACTCTCAATGAAAACTGTCCTTATGTACCATGTGTCCTATTTTGGTTCAGATCGCCGGGTATTTCAGCTGTTTTCGAAGATAAAGACTTGTGGTTTTCGCGGCCCTGTGCCATTTTTTTTTGTGAAACTGAGAAGTACATATATACCATCATCTTTCATTAGCTACAATAAACAGCAGTAACTTTACTGTAAAGGAAACTGATTTTAAATTGTTTTTATTCCAGTGGTCTGGCAAAAAATAAATTAATTTTTTTAAAAGTCATAAGTGAAATTTTTCTGAGGGTTTGGAAAAGATAATCAATAATTTTGAAGGTCTTGATAAATCATTGAAATAACTTCACAAAAAGCAATGCATAAATCTCATCAAATAGTAAATACATAAATGTGTATACATTTTAGAGCAAAAATGTTGCAATGAATATGTATAGGGTGTTCCAAAATTGTATCCATAATTCCAAAACTCCCCCGAAAAGTGTAATCAAATTTCTTAATGTTAAATGCAGACTTCATGACAAAAATCAATGTAAAAATACAAATCAATCATGTAAAATACAATTTAAAAAACTCTTTTGCACTACTAAAACTTTGTTAAAAATGGCTCATGTAACTATGATTGTTTTTTTGCATGGAGCTTAAAAAATTGATATATATAGAGTGCTCCAAGATTCTAGCGTTGGAAGTTATTGTAAAAGTTGCAACAAATAATTTTGGCATACAATAAAATTAATTTCACTGATACAGGATGTGCTCATTTTAATTTTTCAAATGGAATGGTATAGTTTTTATGGTATCATTCCATTCCTCCTCCAAAATAAATATATAATCAATGTTAGAATGTTAGTGTTACGATATAAATAAATGTCAGTTTTATTTTAAGATTCTCGTAAAAAAAACCACTGTGCCAAACTGACCATTTAAAAACACCTCTGGAGTAGTGATAAGGCAAATATGCTCCAAGAACCATAATTTACAATTGAAGGTAAGCATTCATTTTTAAATTGTGTTTACTGTCAGTTTTAATCCCTACTTTACTTTTAATCCTTTCGGTAGCAAAAGTGACTTTGAACAATTTGTTGTCGTACTCATTTCACAAAGATACAAAACAAATCCTAATCTGAGACACTATGGACGACAAGATAGATCAAATTTCATTTTCGAAATATTTTATGTTGTAGATGGACACACCCTCAACTTCTGTAAAACATGCTGTGTCCTGTGAACTTTGGATGCATGTTGAATCGTATTTACATCACAGCTAATATGGCTCATCTCCCCTTCCTGCTTCTCAGGAAATATTTGGCCACCTCTGCTCCTTTCACTCGCCCATATCAGATTTACATTCATTTGATAATGAGAGAAAACAATGTAACATACTTTATTGGAATCTGTGGCTTCAACTTTTGACTCTCCCAGTTGCCAAATGAAACGTGCTGGAATTGGTAGTGTGTTATTTCGATTAGCAATAACGTTTAGTTTTTAATCATTTGCTTAATAAAATAGGTAGGCATGTTCATTAACTTGCACTAATAGTGTACCAATCCACAAATGTGTAATAATAATCTAAATCAACAATTTGCCTTCTACTTTGTCCATTTGTAACATTAATGACAAAGACTATGAGTCAATACAATAGTTCCTTGTACAACATTCAACAGACGGACAGAAATCAATTAAGCCTTTGGTCATAGATATTGGCACCCTTGAGGCCACTATTATGTAAATGCCTATATGATGTAGATCGCGTCGTTTTATTATAGTTGCGTTAGCTACAAGTCCATTTCCCGTTCTCCCTGTCATGAGCTATCATAGTATATTTACATCTGTGCAATTGCCTTTAACTTTAATGTAACAAATGATTTTTAGTTAACACATGTACGTTACGTTGGAAGGGTTTGCGAGAAAAGTACATCAGACAAAAACAGAAATACTCGGAAGGAATAGCAGGAAAATGGGAATTTCTGGACGATCTCGCGTTCTTAGACAGTGTAATACAATACCGCAAGAAGCATTGGCAAGTAGAGGAGTCTAGTCAAATGTTCGCGACCAGTGACAATAGTTGCAATTTATCACAAGCTAACTCAGACTATGATGGCTTAGACGAGCATACAAACGACAGTACACCAAATCACCCCACAAGTTCAACAAACACATATCAACAGCCGCTTCCAAATAACAGTTCCTTCGTTAACGTTACCATAAAATCACACACCCCGGACAGTACTCTACATACGTCTGAAACAAGAAAACGGACAGCAAGTAGTGATGTTGAGGAGCCAACGTATTTTAAACCGACGAGAGAAAAAACAGATAATCAAGAAAGAACGCCAGAGCAAATATTTGGAGAGTTGGTCGCCGCAATGCTTGCGACGAAGTCTGATGGTGAAAAAAATTTAGCAATGATTGAAATCATGTCTATCTTAGCGAAATCACCGATGTAAGTCAAATTGAAGGTGTGTGTCACTGGTCCTAATAGAATGTGCATTTAATTTATTATTATATAATATGTGCTAATAATAGTTATATAGATATTGTCTAATTGTGTAGACTTTTCTAAATTACACATCACATGTTCAAGTCCAAAAATGGAAATGTGTCAATGTAAGATTTTAGTTCAACAATTAGTAATTAAGTGGAGCGTCTGTAAATAAAAGTAATATAAACATTATCATCGAATAACGAATATCGTTTCTTTTTTAATGTACCAAGAGCCATTCAATTCACAATAGCAAAAATAAGACATTATTTGTCTACTTTAAAACTGCAAACACAGGAATTTTTGTTCACAGCAGATTGACTTTATTACGCAACTGTTGTATACACGGTGTCCATTTTTCGAGTGCCACTATGGGGATCTTGCTTATCTTAAGAGATAGAAACTTGGTTAAATGAGGGCAAAGTTGCGAATTTTCGTGCTGAATAATAATCTAAAAATAAATTTATAATATCTTCAATAGTTTTGAAAATATGGCAAAAAATCAAAAATTTCTGATTTTCATTTTAACTTTTTCATGGTAAACTAATTGTACTAGACATTTCTAATTAACACATTATTCAGACACTTTTTAATGGAGATTTCGAATATGGCATCCCGTTTTAATAACTTTCAAGATAACGGGGAAACACGTGGCAACTTTAATTTTTTTTATGGGCGCCGTTTTGGATTCGGACATTTTGAGATTAGGTCTTTTTTTCTCTTTACAACGATATATCACATATGGTGGCTCAGTATCATATTTTTCTAAAAATACAACTTTCATTTTCTGCGAAGAGTGCTATGCAAAAACAAAACGTTCTTTTGTTGTGAACAAAATGTTGACATATTTCAAGCAGTGTCATTTACGTTTGTGCTAGTTTTATTGCAAAAATATTATTTATTCTTATGTATTTTGTTCTAGTTTGAATTATAATTTTCTTGCAAAACAAAGGTTCAATTCTGTTCATATGAAAATCGAATTTTCTCAACACATCTAGTTCTCTGATGCCAACGCTGCAACCGGACATATGCATCAAACTGTCAAACTTTTGTTCACAATAAAAGAACGTTTTGTTTTTCCAAAGCACTCTTCCTAAAAAATTAAAAATTGTATTTTAGGAAAAATGTGATACTGAACCACCATGTGTGATATGTCGACGTAAAGAGAAAAAAAGACGTAAACTTAAAATCTCAAAATTAAAAATGGCGCCCATAAGAAAAACTAAAGTTGCCACATGTTTCTCTGTCATCTTAAAAGTTATTTAAAACGAAATGTAGCATTCGAAATCTCCATTGAAAAGTGTTCGAATAATGTGTTAATTAGAAATGTCTAGTACGACTAGTTTATCATGAAAAAATTAAAAACGAAAATCAGAAAGTTTCGTTTTTTTGCGATATTTTCAGAACTATTGATGATATTTTAAATTTCTTTTCAGATGGTTATTCAGCAAGGAAATTCGCAACTTTATCCCCATTTAACCAACTTTCTATCTCTTAAGGTAAAGAGATCCCCATAGTGGTACTCGAAAAATGGACACCGTGTATTAGACGCCTATAATTGAAATAATAATAGGACTTTATTGCACTAAACATAATTGACATTCCGGCAATTGGTACCATTCACATTAGTGCAAAAGGCGGCAGTTCAGGTCCTTGTCCATAATGAATAATATGGCGCAACTCACTAAAGGTAATTGGTGATTTGAAAGTGTATAATTGGTCTTTAAAGCACTTGCAACGTGAAAGTCGTTAAACTCGTTGCGCGTGCTTTAAAGACTTGATTATACAGTATCTTAATATACTATTTATTGTTATTATTATTATTCCTCTCTTGTTTTGGGCCCTCAACAGGCATGCGCCCAATTACAGAGTGACCCGCATAATGCTATTTAGAGGTGCCTCTGCAGAAGGTCTTAAGTTGGTCTATACTACTCCGGTATTTACCTTACGAATTAGGAAAACTGCAGGAAAACCTAATTCGGAGTAGCCGGTAGAATGCTCGGAACTGGTGTAAGTTAATTTCCATCTCCGCCACAGATGACAAATTCACCTCAACCCAGGTTCGAACACCCGACCTCCGGATTTATAACCCAATGCTCTACCACTGAGCCATAAATCCGATCATTTAAACATGACACTTGGTTACTTAATGAACAAATTTTATACCAATCGTAGACTTCAGAATACACAAAAGTTGGGTTGTCTATTCTTTTCCTGCCTCAATAGTTGATTGGTAGGTATAAACAGGGAAGTTGATACTAGTAACTTAGATCCATATGTTTCAGAAATAAATCTTATACCATAAGTGCTGTGTCATTGCGAACACGACTAGGGTGTTCATTTTATTTTGTCGACTATTGCTATCTCGAGAACTATAAGATAATCCAATGATTCGGGAACATATTTAAATATTGTGTTACTCTTTACGCCTTGTGGGCAGGTGCACCATCTTGTTGATAATATCATCTAGCATATTTGCTAACGTCTCTCTTAAAAATTGTAAATACCGATCACCTGAACACATTTGAAAAAATATTTTGTCTTTCAAAATAGCACACCAAACGTAAACACTAAATTTTCTTTGAAATTCTCTCTCACGCACAATTATAGGATTCTCTGTACTTCAATAATGTTTATTTCCTGCATTAAACATGCCATTATTTGAAAAATTTGACTCATTTGTACAGATAATAAATTTTAAGTCTTACTTAACCAACTGCCGTCCAATTAATTTAATAATATTGAGTAACTTCAGTAAGGTTTTTGAAATTATCCTGTATCCTGTAGTTCCTAAAATTCTTGTCATTTAAAATCGACGGTACGTACCCACAGCGAGGTACCAATCAAAATGAGTTGCTTTGAAGATTTAATATTCGTTCCTCTACAATATTTTATATAATAATTTAGATTGCGCCTATTTACTGAATAAACTCAAGTTCCAAGTTACTATTCCAGAAACTCTAATACTTTTTATAATAATACTCCACGCACGAACTTCCTATTTAGGTCCCCTATTTTTAGTATGTGTCGAAATAATAATAATCCTGATAGCGTTGGCTATTGTGTCCATCAATAGCTATGTTGGTAAGTATGAATTACATACTATCCCTACATTTCCAATGTGCGTGTGTGAATTCCTTTTTTTGTAGGACCCTACATAACTTCACCAGACACAGACATAGACACTAATCGTTACTTGATTTTAATCCGTGCGATTAGGTAACCAGGCTAGACCTGAGTTCACACAAGAAACACCGACAATAATAATAATAATAACAAACACTTATTACACAATACCTACAAAGAGTACGCAGTATACTTAAAACAAAATTACACGGTAGAAATACAATCAAGGCTATTAACACTTATGCCACACCAGTGCTTACATACTCTTTTGGGATTATACGTTGGACAAATACAGATTTAGAACAAATACAGAGAAACACACGTACACTATTAACAAAACACCATATAAATCACCCTCACTCCTCCACTATACGACTTTACCTTCCTCGTTCGGAAGGAGGTAGAGGACTTACAGATATAAAACTATTGCACCAAACACAAATACACAATTTGCGACAATACTTTTATAATAAAACAGATACTTCAGTCCTACACAAAACAGTAACATATGCAGACAAATCTTACACGCCACTTAACCTACACGAAACTAATATACTCCCACCTCCATCCAAACTTACATACATCACAAATAACATACAGACATGGAACCAAAAGCCGTTGCATGGACGATTTCCACAAGAGGTTAGTCAGGATTGTGTTGATTCTATAGCAACGCACACTTGGTTGTCTGAATGTGATATCTTCCCGGAAACGGAGGGTTTCATGTTAGCAATACAAGACCAGGTCATTAATACACGCAACTATAAAAAACACATACATAAAGACAAAACAGTGACAACCGATTCTTGTCGACTCTGTTCACAAACATCAGAAACAATCCAACATATAATATCGGCATGCACACGACTTGCACAAACTGAATACAAACATCGACACGATCAGGTAGCTAAAATCATACATCAAAAATTAGCACTTAAACACAATCTCATAACAGATAAGACACCATACTACAAATACACGCCACAGATCATACTTGAAAACAACACACACAAATTATATTGGGACAGGACACTACTCACAGACAAAACTATCCACAATAATAGACCAGATATTACACTTATAGATAAAACACAAAAATCCATTTGTATTATAGACATTGCCATACCCAACACTAACAACTTAACTAAAACACATGCAGAAAAACACCGCAAATACACCGATATAGCTATCGAGCTTAAGACGCAATGGAGAATGAAATCTACTGTTATAGTTCCCATTATTCTTAGTGCTACTGGAGTTATACCAAAGACAATACACCACAATTTACAACTATTAGGTTTAGACAAAAACACATACAAACATTTACAAAAAGCAGTCATTATCAACACATGCCATATTGTTCGTAAATTTCTAAACATAACACAAGATACTACATACAGAAATGATCCACAACGTATACATGTAAACAACAGCACTCCCTCACAACACGGTACACAACATACTGTAATATCTCCACCTCTAACCCAAACAAGCACACAAATACAACTTACCGAACAAACAAGTACAACAAATGATACAACATATACTACAATCAGAGATTCACCTCTGAAGCAAACCACATTATCACGACCCATTAGTATTCAACCCAAACGCAAAAGCCTAAACAGCACTTTAGACTCACAACATGACACACAACATACTGTAATATCTCCACTCTTAACTCAACCAACCACACAAACACAACTTCCTGAACAAACAAACGCAATAAATACAAGTAACGCAACACGCACTACAAAGACGCCCTCACCCAATAAAGTTACACGGCCTAGCACAGCTAAAAAACACAAAACTCCTTCTTCACATAAACACACCACGTTATCACAACCCACTCGTATTCAACCCAAACGCAAAGCCAAAGAAACACTTACACAATAAACTCTATTTAATAAAAGTACAGGAATTATTATAATGATATTTTTGTTTTGTTTTCTCCTTTCCTAATAGCGTTGACTATTGTGGCCATTAATAGCTATGTTGGTAAGTATGAATTACATACTATCTCTAGATTTCCAATGTGAGTGTGTGAATTTTTATTTTTATTATATTTATTTTATTTTTTTTAGGACCCTACATAACTTCACCAGACACAGACACAGACACTAATCGTTACTTGATTTTAATCCGTGCGATTAGTTAACCAGGCTAGACCTGAGTTCTCACAAGATACACCGACAATAATAATAATAATAATAATAATAATACACTAATCGTTACTTGATTTTAATCCGTGCGATTAGTTAACCAGGCTAGACCTGAGTTCTCACAAGAAACACCGATAATAATAATAATAATAATAGATTTCTTTATTAATTGTATATTACAATACATTTAAAGGCGAAGTTCACCATGAAAATTAATTTAAAAAAAGCTTCGTTAACATGTAACAATTTGCTGTTCTTCCACTTATCCTACTGATGACATTAATTACTTTATAATGAAGCTTAATCCTCTATACGGACGGACGGACAAGATAACATATTAGTGCTTTAAATCGGCCAAATTGCATCAGTTTAGATTTAGTAGGATTAATGGCTAAGCAATGACCTTCTGCATATTTTGCAAATCTCTCCAAATCGTTATTGATAATATTTATTGCTGCTTGAACATTGTTTAAATCAAAGGAGTAATAAATTTGACTGTTGTCTGCATAAAAATGCGAACAGCACTTAACAAGTGAACTAGAGAGCTTCATAGTGTTAAATTAAACAAAAGTGGCCCTAGAATTGATCCCTGCGGCACACCACAAGATACAGGTAAAGCATCCGACAAGTTGGTAGTGTTGAGTTTAACTTTTTGTAATCGATTATCCAAGACACTTATAGTAGATCCAAAGCCACTTAATAATGTGATCAATAGTGTCGAATGCTTTAAAAAAATCAATTTGCACCAGTGCGGTTAGTTGATTATTGTCATGTGCCACAAGACTATTATCCACTACTTTTATTAAGGCCGTAACACAGTTATAACCTTGTCTGAACCCTGACTGATGGGCCGGGAGTAAATCCGATTTATCAATATGAACTTTTATAATGATTGTTCTAGAATTCGTTCCAAAATTTTGGACCAATAAGGCAGAATGCTAATTGGACGGAGGTGGGCAAACTGCTGAGGTGGATTGACTTTAGGCAAAGGAATGACATGAGATGTTTTGATGTATGTTGTATTTCCCCAAATGTTGATATAGACAAAAATTTTCATAACCTGCCCACTATATTGTCTAGATTTAACCACCTGGCTCCTAATTTTTAGCTTAAGTTTTATATATTGCAAATATTTCTAATTTCTACGTGTAACATTCGTTTTATGTACACTACACACTAGTATGCTCACTTATATAATTGGATTATTTAATCTGTCGGACAAATAAAGGCTTATTATTATTATTATTCTCTCAATTAACGTGAAGGGCTATTGCTCTACCATACTATATATTTGGCGACGAGAAAAATGGCTTCTAGTTTGCAATTTGAAAAGTTATGTCCCAATAAAGAAGACTGGGTATACGACGCACAACGTTTTGCATGGTGACAACAAGAAATAATTCTCAAATATAATTCAAACGCAGCTACGCTAACAGAAATCGAAACATACGCACAAGCATTTATATATGAACAGAAACTTACAGTACAGATAAACAGAGTAGGTCACGGCATCTCGCATGTTTTTGGTAAAAGTGGCCCAGCAAAAAAAATAAAAATAAACAATGCGTACATTGTGGTAATCCATCTCATGGAAATCGTGAACGTTGTCCGGCTGAAAATAAACTGTGTTCGTCGCGTGGTAAACAAAACTACTTCGGACGAGTTTGCATTAGTGCGAGTCGTGCGCGCCTGAAAAATACAGAAGAGGGCGTTCTCGTCGGGAAAATCGCAGCACGATACGTGTACGGCAAAACGAAAACTGTGACACTTTGGTACACTATGACGTATCCACAGAATAAGACCTTCAACGTATCTAGTGATGCGTCAGACCGAGGTACAGGCACGGTAATTTCACACAAATTTCACGTTGGAACGTAACGCCTAATTGCTTTTGCTTCAAGGACCTGGACCACAGCAGAATCTAGATATAGTACTATACCTCTATGGAAGGAAATTTGACAGACCACAGACCGTCACAACATATTTTCAACGAACACCAAAGATTGCCAGTAATCGCCTATTGCACTGTGCTTTGATTTTGAGGAGCTATAATTATATAATACTGTAGGCTATAGCTAGATCTGACAAGTCCGATTGCTGTGAGTGAAACCAATCTTTCTAAACTGTTTTTTAGTAACACATCTCAGCAAGGAAATAATTAGTAGGTACCTTACCACACCACTTACAAAACAGTATAAAAAAAAATAAATAAAAGGTGAGGTCTTCTTTATCAATTATACTGAGTCTAACTGTTTTGAGCTTGCTTAATGCGATTTTCAAAAAATAGAAATCTGTATTGGTCAAATTAGAACGTATTTTTTACAACTTACCTGTAAATGTGGGTATAATACTTTGAGTTGCACCACTACCAGACGCATCTGTAAAAAGTTTCTGTGCTATGAAGCTGTTGCCATGAGGATTAAAACCCTGAACAGCAACAACTTGACCAGGAAAAACTGCGTAGTTGGAAAGTTTGCTAAGGTTCAGCTGCACACTGTTTCCATGAGTCAGTTCATGAGAACCTTCCAGTAATATTGCAGACGGGTCTAACTTGTCCACAAAATCTGAACAAATTTGCCCATATGTGGTAATCAAACCCTGTTAATAATCACTTGGAAAAAGTAATTGACAATTAGAACTTACTGATGCTTTCCCATATGAGTGTGGTTCTCCAAGGGAAAATTTCCGAAGTAGATATTTTCCAATGCAGTCCACCTTTAAACTTAAGCATGAAGCCTTTGAATGACTCACATTAAACATGTAAAGTACATCTGGTGAGATCGCTTCTGTCTCTCCATTTGAGTATATCTTAATTTGTACATCATTACTGCTGTCAGCAGGCTTTCGTTTAAAGGTGGCGTTCATTAAAAGTGTCTGTATACCATATGATACCTCCACTTTGCCAGAGTTAGTCCGTTGGGAAAAGTCATAGGTTTCTGAACTAATTGAAATTAAAATATACATAATAACTCAAAATGAAACTTACTGTAAAACTGGGCTCGACGCTATTTGATTGGACAAATGTAAGTCTTCTTTGAGCAAACTGTTCCGTTCTGGACTTCGTAACCTCTTTGCATTGCTTCTCTACAAAAATTTAAAAACAATACAATTTTGAGAGATTAAAAAATATTTTGTCGTTTGTGAGTAAGAAGTAAAAGAAATCTACATTAAAGGTAAATAACAAAAATGTAACCTTCGAGATTAGATGCGACTTACACTTACTTTAGATATTAAAAAAATGTACTGTTTGCGTTTCATCCGTGCGCACCCCCTTCTGCAGTTTTGAACTAGCTTTAGGGGTATTGTCCCTGAGTCAGAATTTTTTGCATTAGGTGAAGGTGTGCCAGACACAACATTTTGAACTGCTGCATAAATTAATTGCTCGAGATTAATAACTTTTACATATGACAACAAATTTGTCTAAGTGACGTTCTACCCTTAATGGTAGTCTAAACCTAACAAAAGGAATTAATTTCGACCAAGCACAGTTCTCCATCCCGACTTCTTATCGTAAACGGTTAGACGATCTCAAGAGCGACAATAGGGTAAGTAGTATCAACAAAAGGCGATGGGAACGTCTAGAAAGAAACATAACCACTCGTAATGTCAAAACTTTGTCAAATATCCTGTGTGTTGAAGAAGAGTACTCTCAAAGAGCGGTTGCAACGTCTGGACGAGATAAAATGTCACAGAGCGGACTATTTATGTGTACAAAGGGAAATAAGTTAAAGTACTTTTATGGTTAAAGCATATTTATTTTATGATCCAATTACTCATTATTTTGTAATTCTAATAAACAACCTTTCAAAGAAATATCTTCATGCGCATTCGCACGTCAAATAATTACAATATGTTTTCCTCTAACAGAAGCATCTGTGATTAAAATTTCAAAGAAATATCTCCATAAATAAAAAAAGTTCGGTTCGCGCACATTAATCGTCAAGATTTTTCTTGGCGAGGCTATAAGCTACCAAATTCAAAAAGAACGAACTAAATATATTGAAAACTGTAGGGTAGTTAAGGCCTCGGACGGACGGACAGAGAAAGGGGCTGCAATAGCGCTAAAAATGAACCTTCATAAAACGTAATTTATAATCGCCTGGTTACCAAATTAGAAACTTCACCTCAACCCAGAACTAACGCATGTTGAAGGGATTTTTGTTGTTTTCAGTTCTCCAGTACGTTTAGTTTTTAATGTCTCCATGTCCTCTTTTAAGACCGCGGCTTCATATCATACGACTTTAGATAAAATTAAAGTCAATGTTTCAGCCTCTATTTAGAGATTTGTTGAAAAAGGAAATAAGAATTTAAGGACAAGCCGTCGGCGTCGGTAAGAGGTAAAATAGAAATATGCCATGAAATTCCAATCATTCGAAAAATCTTCCCAAAAACGTTTGACTCGACAGCAACTCATTTTGGATCGCATAATATAAGAAAGCAAAGGAAGTGTTTTTTTAACTGATTGTAACGACCCCTTCATCCTAAACTGGGAGTTGAGTAAGAGTCATTTTGTTGATAGTCAGTTGACATTATGCCGAACATTATGCTTAAAAGCTTTCCCAATAGATGAAGAGCTGGTTACGGAAAAATAGTACATTGATGTACAAGTTTAGAAAAGTGTTAGTTTTCTAGTGAGTGTAAATGTTTGAATTCACGAGTGAGCGCAGCTCACGAGTGGATCAAATTTGCACGAGCACAGAAATTCACTTTTCTTACGTGTAGATCATGCTATTTTTTCGTGTAGTTTATTTACAAAAATAACTCTAATTGTAACGTTTTGTTTTGATGTCGAAGAATAATTTATTATAATATCAAAGTATGTTGAGCATTTGTTGATATGGTAACAAAACATACGAACAAGTAAATAATTTGTGAATAACGCTCATTTAAAATGAGTCAATCAAACGGGAATAATGAAAAAATTTTACAATTGGTATTAGAAGCAGAGTCAAGTTTATTACCTAAAAAGTCCAAAGTAAAGTACGAGAAATGATACCTACAGTTCTGTGACTGGAGAAATATAAAAAATGTGCGAGGAGCAAATGAAGATATTCTAATTGCGTACTTTGTTGGAAAGGTTTGTATTACTCGTATTTATAAAATTTATTAGCACTGATTTTTAAACATTCTTAGGCAAAAAAACTTAAAGCTGCTACACTATGGTCACAATACTCGATGCTGAGAAGTACTCTACAAATATAGGACAATGTGGATATTTCTGTTTATAAAAAGTTACTTGCTTACCTGAAACGTCAAAATGACGGTTATGTGGCAAAAAATCGAGAGTTTTATCGATGGATACCGTAAAGGAGTTTTCAGAAAAGTCTCCTGATGACAAGTTTCTGTTTATAAAGGTCGTGTTGGTAATTGCCCTACACGGACACTGTCGAGCGGAAGAATTACGGTTACTAAACGTGGATGATGTAGAAGATTGGGGAAATATTTTGGTCATAACATTAAACGACACAAAATCAAAGAAAAAACGAGCCTTCACAGTTACATCGGAGGATGAATTTATATTTTATAAACGTTGCGATCGTTTCCTCATCTTCTGGTGTAATATTTAATAACTTAACAAATTGTTAATTTATGATTTACAATAATAAACAAAATGAATGAAAAAAAGTGTTGCTAACAAGAAAAGTCTCACTTTTCTTCACGATTTTTGATTTAACAATACGCCACTTTTCTATTAACTACACGAAAAAGTGATTTATTGCTACATGGCTGATTTTTAGCGCATTTTCCAACGAAGTTGGGTGCGATTTTGCAGCCACTTTCTCTGCCCGTCCGTCTGTCCGAGGCCTTTAACTACTCCTACAGTTTTCAAGATATTTAGTTCGTTCTTTTTGCATTCGGTAGCGTATCGCTCTGGCACCTGAGTCAAAGAAAATCTTGGCGATTGAACTGCGCAATGTTAACTTTTTTATTTATTAATATATTTTGTTGAAATTTTAATCACAGATACTTGTAGTAAAGGCAAATATATCGCATATAGTAAAAATCAGATGTGCGCACGCGCAGACTGCGCAATGCCAACTTTCTTATTTATGGAGATATTTCTTTGAAATTTTAACCAAAGATGCTTATAGTAAAAGCAAACGTATTGCATATTGTAAATATCAGATTAATAAGCGCAAGACGCGCAATATCAACTGCGCAGTAAGTGTCTACTTCCTTATTTATGAAGATATTTCTTTAAAATTTTAATCATATATGCCTCTAGTAATGAAAAACATAGCGCACATAGGTATGGCTTTTGGGGAAGTATTGATCAATTTATGGAAAATGCGCTGAAGTTACTTGCCTTAGGGCGAAAACTTTTTACTTGTTGGTGTAAAGTATGCTGATATATAGGGAAGGATGGGCGGTCAAATATGTAAGATTTTAATAAAACTTCGAACTTTCCGACTCAGTGGCGTAGCGTGGCACGTTGGCGCCCGATCAAGATTTACCGCCCTATATACATATTTTAGGAGCTGGTTACCATTTTTAGTTCCCTATCATTTATTTAAAAAAAAAGAGTTCAAATTTCTTTCTCTATTCTGGATTTGAGTACCTTTAGAGCGAGTGATTCTTTAGGGTGGATGGGGGATTCACCTCTTGACATTATATCTATAAGCTTTCGTTTGATACCTATATGATCCATGTGGCATCCGATAAAAAAACACACACTACAATAAAGACAGACAGACAGAAAACAACGTATTTTTTCAATTTTTTTTGTATTGCGGTAAAAAGGATATACCCAACACTGTTTCTGAAGAAAGAAACGCAAGAATCAAAGAAGATAATTATATTTGAATTGCTTGATATACAGAGAACAGGAGTCTCTTTGTCATGTATTTTCGCCTCAGTTTTTTTTTCAGATAAAGCATCTTCAAGTCCGTCGATGGTCATCGTCATTGCTTACAAAATCAAAATTTAAATATATTTTCACCATTGAATAAAAACACTATTATTCAATGATTTTCACACAATTTTTTTATCGTCTCCTACTTTAGTTATTTTCAAAAGCTCCCCGGGATATTATTGGCAGGTATGACGCTACCGCCCCTACTAAATTGCTGCCCGGGGTGGACCGCCCCCCCTTCGCTACGCCACTGTTCCGACTATATTTACCTCTGGCGCTTTTGTTTTGAATCCGACGCAAAAAATGGACTTTTGGTACAGCAAAAGCTTTTTACAGCATCAAGGAGTTTTTAACAAATGATTTTTCTGACTTCGGTGACATTGTTCTCTGTGATTAAGTTGTGATAATATTAATATATATTAATTGTAACCTGTGATATTGTTCGTCTCACATATTTTTTCTGTAATTGTTTTCGGTTGACGAGTGTTAAAAACTTAGAATGTTTTATTTACACAATATACGTTATTATTACTATCAGCTTATGAAAGCACATCTTTTTTTGTATTTTTTTCGCTATGGTGCTTACTTTTCAAGAAAAGTTCAAATTAAAAAAAATTATAAAATAAATAGTTCAACTTTTCAATTTAGAATTTCCCAAAAACTAAGAAAGTCAAAAAAAAACTGCAATCGACTTTTTTGTAGAGTTTTGTATGCCACATTTGCCAGTGTGTGCAACAATGATTTCAACAAATTTTTTGTTACGGCCCTTTTAAATTGTATGCACGAGGTTCGTTTCTTGTGAACACGATAACCCCAAAAACGCCTGAACCGATTTTGATAAAATTTGGAATGTTTATAGGATTGTATCGTGAATCGCAAACGACCTATTTTGGTTTCGATCTGTTACCATCTTCAGGGTTTTTGAAGGTTTAAAAGGGTCATAACGGCTTTTCGCATGCATTGGCTAATGTGGCATAAGAAACTCTACAAAAAAAGTCCATAACAATTTTTTGTGAGTTGCTTAGTTTTTGAAAAATTTTAAACTGAACAGTTATAACTATTCATTTCATAATTTTCCTCAGAAAGTATCCTCATAGCGAAAAATGTTATATATAAAAAAAGATGTGCCTTGATGAGCTGTACAAAAAAGTCTCAACCATTTTTTGCGTCGGACTCAAAATAAAGGCGCCAGAGGTAAATACAGTCGTAAAATCAGCAGTTTTATTAAAATTTGACATATTTGGACCGCCCCTCTCAGATCTCGCTGGCAGACGTGACTTTTTCTACTTCACTATGTACCAGGATATTTTACACAAAAAATCAGCTATGTAGCGATAAGTCACTTTTTTCCATAGCCAGCTGTTAAGAGAATATGTAGAATTATCACCGAATGCAGGAGAATATCTCCAGAGGTATTGAGAAATGTACAATCTGGATTTGATCGAAGATTGTATTATTGTGTGAAAGTTATTGGAGGTCATTTTGAGCAAATATTCTCGTTAGTGTAAACCTTTTTGGGCTGTTTATACATATTTTTCAACTGTAAAGCGCAATTTCTCGCCAACTAATCGATTTAAAAAAGTGTAAGTAATGAAAACCCCCTTCCAAATTATAGGACATTTGACCCCTCATCCAATTAAAAATTGTGGGAGTTGCCACCCCTAGCACGGACTTAAAGCCCAAAGAATTAATTTTGCATAAAAATTATGCACTTTTATATAAAAATCGATTAGTTTTTGGGAACCACATTTATTTTACAGAGTTTTAGAGGGATACAAATTTTCGTTGGGTCATCTTGTGTATAAGAGTGCAAAACACCTTGTATTATTACTTTTTTTGTGTTAGAGAAGAATTAATTTGTTGAGAGTGCAAGGAGACTAAACTTTGGGATCTGATTCATTCGGAGCATCACTTTAAATCACAAAACTAAGGCGCTTGCAGGTACTTAGAATCAGTGCCTCAGTAAAAGTATTTATATGAATACAGCATTACTTGAAGAATATCAAAGTGGTTTCCTGGAAGATCTCATTACCTTTATAATGAAAGATCATTGAAGGTTTCGCTTCATTGGCATTTTTTAATCAGTGTTCATTTTTATCATAATTATATCAACATACTTAGACAAAGCATATGATTCAGCATCCATTCATGCAGTACAAACACAAAAATCATCTAATAATTTAACACTTTATTATCGAAATACAATTACATTCAAAAGTAACATCTATTATTGTTGCAATTGAGGCTCCTGCGAATGTCGAAAACCAAAACGACAAGCCCAACTTTCATAGACGAGTATGGATCTAGTCACGACTTATAATACACGTGCACCAGATCACACTCGTCTGCAAACATTGCGCGTAACGACTCACATGGACCAAGACGATTAGTAGTTATTCCTTAATGAGTGTGGATCTAGTCACGATTTAAGAAACGTGCCACTAGACCCATACCCATTTAGGACCGACCACAAAGAGGTGCACTGCATAAAAAACCAGATTATAGGTACAGATATAAGTAAATGTAACAATTGAAAAATTGCAGAAATCTTAACCAAACTGTTAAAAAAGCGATAATACATAAGCATAATTAACATTGTGCAAAATTTTTGTATATACAACAAAGCACATAAATTCTTACGGTAGAGGTTGTTTACACCTGTAGATGAGCGTTGTTCAACCAATAAACATACGATCTTTTCAAACTTTTTAAAACAAAATCTGTTACGCTGAATCAACAAGTCGTTGTATCGATCGCACCTACTTTTAAAATTCTAAAATTTGCAAGAAATATTTACACACTGACCACACACAAAACCAAGCGTCCACAAGCGTCTTGATGAATTCAACAAATGGCTGCCGAACAATAAAATAGCCTTGAGGAGTTTCCGAGAAGTTTGAAGACTTTTGCGCAACGTACTATCACGGACGTCACTCGCATATTACCGTCCTTTTCTACACAACGCGACACACGCGAAGTAAAACACGCACGTCACTTTTTAACATCTAATATACCTCAACATCTTAAAAAACTTACCTTTCCGGCAAACTTTAAGTAAAATATTTGCCGGAAAATTCTTTAAAAACTAACAAAACACCCGTTTACGGTAAAACGCGTGAAAATCAACTTAAAATTATTATTAAAAAATGGGTAAGTACAAGATGGAGTTAATTCATCTCAACTAATGTGCTTACAGTTGCACAATAAAAACATTCTGATTTTTCTACTCGCTAACCACTTAAATCAATCGTATAAAAAAAAAGGTACTTACTTTTGGAGTACTATAAATGCCGACTGATGGGGAATTCTGAATGCTGGAAGAATGAAGCCGATAGTTCAGTAAATCACAACCCTCGGTACAAATACCTTTCATCTAAGCGACTCTGGGATTTTGTAGATGTGGGAGTTTGTACGCTTGGTTTTATCGATGCGAATTCCTCACTTCGCTTTGCAAACTCCTTTCGTTCCATACCTTCGAGTGCGGCCAGGGTAGGCACAGCACTCGCGAGGTTAGACGCACTATAAGCTCCCCATTCGTTTGCCAAATCTTCTGCTGTTAAGTTATACAAGTTGCACATTTGTTCACCTATAAAGGAAAAAGTTTTGTAATATTCCATAACCTTACTTTCGCAAATAAAGTTCATACATTTTTCCAATACTTGCTCCTTGAGACTGCCATACAATTCAAAGCAACTTCTGAGATCGTTTTGTAAGCTACTATTATCCATAATAAAATATAAAGCAAATTCTTCTTATACTAAAAAAAACCGCCAAAATTTGTTAGGGAAATGTTATTGTTCTCCCTACCCTTTTCTTTTGCAGTTTGCACGAAAAGTTTATGGTTGCGTCATTGCCAGATTTTCATATATACAGGGAGATTTATATTTGAGTGAAGTACGAAATGCATATATACACATCAAGAACGCGCAAGCATACGTTTACAAATCTAAAATGTAGACTATTTGAGAAAAATCTCCGGTTCTGACTGGATTATGATTATTCTATATATACTTAGTTTCGCATTAACGTCTGCTTTTGTCTTTTACTACTATACACAGTAGATTAAAGCTGTATTAGACGATGCAATTTTTTTATTGCAATTTTTGCAGCAATTCATTGCCGCAAGAAATTGCACGAAAAATTGCTCCGTGTATGTTAAAATTGCACGTGCAATTTCTTGCGCCAAATATTGCAGCAAGACATTCTGCAATTTTCTGGTTATAGAACTTGTGCTATTTTTCTTGCAATTTTTCTTGCAATTTAGTAACTATTTTAGTAACATTTAATTTATAAAAAAAATAAAGTGGTATGCACTGGAGAACATTACCTCCTTATGCTATAATCAGGTTTGTTATTTAAAGTTAAAACTGAAATAACCTATTTACGAGGAATTCAAAAATGGATATGGCGGTAAAATGTAGCGAACTAGGTATAATAAAGCACAATAATTACTTGTGGCCCCAAAACCTGGAACTGTAGATTGGTCTTATTGGTTTATCGAGATACAAAAGTGCCTTTATATAGTGAAGATATATCAAACAACGCCTCTTATGGCAGCAAGTGTGCAAACTTATTCGCAGCGAGGCATCATGAATGCTAAAGATAGAGAAACGATCATTCGTGACGCGTAGGGCAGTAGGTACGCACAGATGCATATTAAAATAGTTTCTGGCAGCGCCGAACATCGAACCAGCTAGAACTGTCCGGTTGTTGTCACGGCTTGTATTACGTAATAACGGCGGTGTCATGGTACTGGTCAAGTGGTCAGTATGACAATGAACCGCGCATGCATCTCAAACTGATCACGGTCACATCTCGTGAGCTTAGCTTGGAGAGTGCTTGAGAATGTTGACTTCAACGCCCTCAAACACAAAGTGGAACAGCTTATGCACATGCGATAAATGATTGAGGAGGTAGGCGCGGTCTCTAAAAAGCGAACTTTGGAAACTTTAGTTTTAAATCTTCCTTCCTATGGTATGGCGTTCTGCTAAGTGACTCTCCAGTTCTCGTGGGGATATTATATGTACCAAAAACAAGGAACACCCGAGAGAAGTGCCTTTCTAAGCGTAGAGGGCGTAGAGGATACAAGACCTTAGGATAGCTCCCAGCCTCTAATGGAGTTGGAGGGGACCTATAAAAATAAAGGCTATAAAAAAACTACATTAGCCAGTGAAACGCAAGTGTCCTCAGATGAAGCTTCATCTGAAAAGCCTAGAAGGTCTAACATGTGTAGTGTTGCCAGGAAACGGTACCGCTGGTTATGGCAGCACAGGGTCCAGCCGGTTTTCGCTGCCGAAAAAACAATCTGCGAACGCATGCTACAGCCGTTGGTTCCGTCAGACAGAGGAAAGAAGATGTCCCGATCTAATAAAAGGTGTAGTAGGAAAAGACGTAGTCATCCCAAGGTAAACCTTACCACAAACGAGATTTAATCACTTCAGTGCGGTATCGTCACCACTATCTTGAACCTAGAAAAGAGAAACACGTGTCAACAGGTCTCAGGTTGAACCTTCAAAGCCATATGATTGGTGACTGGTTACCTTTGCACCGATGTGGTGACTGCACAGTGCCTCTAAGACACGTGCAGTGTCTAACCTGAAGTCATATGAGAGCACAACACTTCGTGCTGTTGACGGAAAAGATATTCCAAAAGCAATTAATCATTATGAACACTTATTTTCTGGACAGCGCCGCCGCCGTAATACAATTATACCGACACTCCACATGATCTCTAACTTGGAATATCCTTACCTCCTATGAGGAAATTACAAAAAAACAATTCTTGACATTCCTGCAAAGTGACTTATTTCAATGGTTTTTACATCAGTGCACGGAAGCTTGAATTTTGAAATTGTACATCTGACAGGCGCCTCAAAGCTCTGAAATAAACACAAAAGTATTTAAGAAGGTACCGTTTTGGAGCGAGGTTTCAGATTGTTTTGAAGGGTTTCAAACTCCTAAAAAAACACCAGGGAAGATTTTCTCGAATATTCTATCGTGTTCTTCAAACGGCCTAGGCATCAGGCCCTTTCTAATTCCTCGAGTCCTTTCCAGGGAACTATAAACATTATGGGAACTTTACAAGTCTTTTCTAAGAACGTTCTAGCTTTCCTCCACTGTAAGTTTTTCCTGGGCGTTGTACATACTTCTACAATTGACTATACGCACATTATATTTGAAAGGTGCGCCTAGAAAGTTCTATAGAAGGATCGGCTGAATCTCTGGAAAACACTCAAGTGCCCTCTCCCCAGCCATTGTTTCCGACAAATTGCAAGTGAGAGCATGCGACAGGAGACCAATTTGAGAAGAATTTCATAACCTTAGGCTTTCCAGAGCGTTATTTTAGGCGTTTTCCACAGCGCTCTAATACTTTCCCGTGTCCTTTTTTGAATTGTGTATTTAAATTAACCTATACTTTACACAGTTTAGGCCAATTCCAATTAGTTCCTAGTTGTAGATTGCAGAAAAAGCATTAAATTAATTTTTACGATATTGGAATTATTGACAATGTTTTAACCGACATATTATCTTTTTCCGATAACAGTGGCAACAATGCAACAAAGATTCTATTAGAACGACTACCATTGGTCCATTGTGTAAAACCGTTACTAAACGAAAATTTTTAAATGTGTTGTGAGTTTAGAAACAGTTTGGACTGTGGTTAGGAATTTTGTTGTGATTTACGGAAATTTGTAGTAATTTAAAAACAATAAGGTACGAACATTAACTCAATCACTTTGTATCATCTTTAATCTCATGTCCACAGCTCAATACCTGTAAACGTATAAACAATAATTCTTGTATTCTTGTAGATGTTTTTTGCCATCGACTTGTTGTGCCCCCAACATGGCGGCAAATTTTCCATTGCTTGGATATGTGCCACTCGGGGAACGGCTCACGTACGTCGCCACCAAATTGTTACTTGCGACGTAATAAAGTTGTGGTAAATTGAAATGTTAAACGTTTTTCACCCAAACTAACCGTTCATTGTTTTAGTGAAGAAATATTTGAAATGGTAACGAGTTCGTCTAATCGACCTAAGTTGCGGCTCTCCTTAAGTTTGGCATCTCGGCTAATTAATGGGTTGGTTAAGATTTTTAGACGACAAGTGGAAATTTTGGAAGGTAAGTTCCCTATAATGTTGTCGTACTTTACAAATGTTTGGTATTTTAGAAGATATAATTAAGTTTCTCCGGGAAGTTAGAAGACCGGCAATTGTAGTGTAAGTTTTTGATATGTCTTAAATGTGTATTTTATAATTAATTTTTGTCTTACAGTCTTACTCATCATGGTACGTATAGATTGTAGTAATTTACTTATCTAAAACTAATTTTCCTACAAGTAGATGAAAGTAAGTCAGAACCAATGGTGCGACCTAAAGTACGTAGGAAACGTAAGAGAAGGATAGTGCTTTCTCAAGATGGTCAAGTAGGACGTCTATTGATTCCTGATGGACAAGTACAAAATGTTGATTTACAAACCATTGTCGCCGAGGCTGAGCGTCGTCAATCTGCAACTGATACCCATGCAAACCAAGAACTTATTAATATTCGTGAGGAGCTACCCACTGAATCTCATTTTGAGACGGTTGGTATTTTAAAAACTGCAGCTTTCTCTCATACTTTGTCCTTATAACTCGAGTTATAACTTTATAATGTGATTTTGTGAATCTTTACCATTACCCATCTTGCTATATTCTTTTTGGTAAGGTTTATACAGGGTGGTGACTTGTGTAACGCATCATAGGGATTTCAATGTAAAATTCATAACATGCGATTATTGGCTCTCCAAATTATTTTAGAGCCAAAATGTATTAAGGTTTTTTGTAGAAAAAAATTTTTTACGTCAATCAACCATATTAGTTTTCAATTTTTTGCATAATAAAGACGGAAAGTTGGAAAAATAAAACCCCCACCCTTTTCAATAATCTGTGATGCCATGACCAAATTACTAAAAACGGTTTCCTAATATAACAATTTACAATAAATGTTTGAATAAAGTCACCATTAACTGCAAGACAGTAACCAAGTCGATTATAAAATCCATTTCGAACTGCTGCTAATTGATAACTGGATATCTTTTTATTTTAGAAAATTCCATGGCATCGCAGATTATTGAAAAAGATGGGGGTTGTATTTTTCCAATTTTCCGTCTTTATTATGCAAAAAAAATTGAAAACTAATAACGGTTGATTGATGTAAAAAAAATTTTTCTACAAAAAACCTTAATACATTTTTGCTCTAAAATAATTTGTGGAGCCAATAATCGCATGTTATGAATTTTACATTGAAATCCCTATGATGCGTTACGCAAGTCTCCACCCTGTATAGGTCCACCTAAATATGACCATATATTCCGTAACTTTAACAAACAGTAACGTAGAGTGTTGTTTCCAAATAAATTATTGCAAAAAATCATTTTAAAGGATAGGAAGTGGTAGAACGTCATTTCTTACAATTTTTTAATTTTTGCAATCATTTAATAGCACCTTGCGCATCACATTATACTCCATGAATGTTTTAAAGCTGAAAATGCCTTGCAGTTGGACATAAATTGGAAACTAACAATGCTTTCCTTGGTTATCAAAACCGAGTTTCTCCAAAAATGTTTTCAAATTCTAAAGTGGTAGTCATTCTAAGAGTTGCTTCAATTGTTTTTTATTACTCATGTGTCATAGGTACATAAATGCTAATAAGCGTAGACTTTGTCTGTTGTATTTTGGTGGTGATCGTGTGGGATTCTGCATGTAAATACAGTTTTATTAACCGAACTTGCACCCTTTGTGTTGTGCACGATTAGGGTTGCCATCCGTCCGGGTTTCCCCGGATTTGTCCTAGTTTTAAAGGCGTCCGGGTAAGGTATTCTAAACAGTCCGGCTTCCAAAAATCGTTAAAAAACGAGCAACTGAGTCGTTTTCAAAGCTCGCTTTAAGTTATACGCCGCGCATCCGACCAGCGTAAGTATAGGACTATAGGTTCATAGGTCGGAAATGCTACTCTGTGCTACTTAACATACCACTAAAGTGAAATGCGTTCGTTTATCGACGATTGTATTTCTGTAAGTTAGATTCCTTAAATTGTGATTTCCATGTAGGTATATACTGTTTGTCTTTTTATTTGATTGACACTAACATACTTATGGAAATTTGTTTCAGTAATCACAATGCCTAAGCGCAAGTGCCTATTTAACAGTGAATTACAAAATAAATTTCCAATGTTGAAAAAAGGAAAATATGACTGGGAGGCTTATTGTACAATATGTTCAACAACTATTTCGGTAGCTAACAAAGGTGTTTCTGACATAAATGAACACCTGAACACACAAAAACACAAAACAAAATTCCAAAATCAGGCCAGTACCTCAAACATTGTTACATACTTTGTTAGGCCTAGTTCTGACGACAATCTTGTACGAGCAGCCGAAGGCGCAATGGCTTATCATACAGTGTACCATCATATGTCATTTAATTCTTTGGATTGCACTAATGCTTTTAACCGAGAATTGTTTTCGGGATCAGACACTGCCAAAAAAATGACATGCAATCGTACAAAAGCTACTTCTATAATAACAAATGTGCTAAGCCCTTTGTCGATTGCCGAAATGAAAAGTGATCTGCAGAATGTACCATTCATTAGTATATCCACTGACGCCAGTAATCATGGGAGCACTAAGTTATTCCCAATTATTCTGCAATATTTTGATTACCAAAAGAGCGGAATCACGACAAAACTTCTCGAAATAGAGTGTACTGAAAATGAAACATCCGACACAATTACGGAGATTATTATAAAACAATTACGGCATCACGATCTTTTGTCCAAATGTGTTGCATTTTCGGGGGATAACTGCAATACAAACTTTGGAGGTAGCGAACGAACAGGAGTAAACAATGTTTTTTATAAACTGAAAGAAAGGTTAAATAACAACATGGTTGGTGTTGGTTGCTCTGCGCATATTATTCATAATGCAGTGCACCATGCATGCGATCTACTGCCATTAGATGCGGAATCTATTATAATGAAAATCTACAATTATTTTTCTATATACACTGTGCGAACTGAGTCACTAAAAGACTTCTGTGCTGCAGCTGACGCGGAATACAAACAGCTACTCTATCATTCAAAAACGCGTTGGCTTAACCTTTTCCCAGCTATTGAGCGATTATTGAAGCTGTATGAGCCACTCAAGGACTATTTTGGAAGCTTGGAGAAGCCACCCGTTTTAATAAAGAAGTTTTTCGAAGACCCCCTCTCAGAAGCGTATTTATTTCTCATTCACTCGATAATGCACGTGTTTCACTCACAAATTGAAAAATTAGAAAAAAGTAATAATTCTGTCTTGGAAACGAGGAACATACTTACTTTTATTATAAGAACGTTAGATAACAGAGTAAATGAACACTTTTTACCACTAAAAATCCGTAGTGCTTTAACAGCGCATGATGAAGACACAAAAAAAGAGTTCGCTAAATGTTGTACCGATTTCTATCATGAAATGAAAACATATATAGAAAAATGGATCAAACCTTTTCAACAGTTTGATAAGTTTGAGTGGATGGTTTTGACCAACATTACGGATAATACTCCATGGACGGTAATTGAGGATACAGTTATATTTTTACAAAATAAGAACATTAATATCGATGACAATAAATTGCTAGATGAGTGGATGAATTTAAAAACATTCAGCTTAAACTTAAGTGATGAAGACAAATTGTTAACTGCCAGTCAATTATGGTTCAATTTTTTTAAAACTCCGAATGTATATTTGTATTCTGAACTGATAAAAATTGCACAGTACTTCTTTTGCATACCGGCTCATAATGCAAACGTAGAAAGAGTGTTCTCATTAATTACCCAACAGTGGACGAAAGAGCGAAATATGCTATTGACATCAACCGTTTCGTCGATAATAAAAACTAAGTACAATTTTAAAGTTTACAATTGTATTAATTTTTATAAATTCCTCCTAGATAAGAAAGAAGTTTTAAATAGTATAGGCAAGGCGGAGAAATATAAAAAATGGAAGGTTCAAATTTCGACGTAGGACATAAAAGTTAGAATTAGTTTGCTTATTTTTTTTTAATTATCAGAAAATCTGTATTGTTTTAGGATAATAAATAAACATTATTCATGAACTTTTAAAAATTACTTAGAATGTCCGGATTTACAGCCCCAAAATCCGGGGTTTTCCTGCTTTTTGTCCTGGATGTGTAATTTTGTTGATGGCAACCCTATGCACGATTAACTATAGCGCGTTCGCACCCCCAGATTCAGTATGGGGTCTTATGGACTAATTGCCTCTCTTACTACTTTGTGTCATTCTTTGATGATACTATCCTTGTTTCTAACCGCATTGATGTCAAATTGACATATGATTAAATGGAAGCATTAAAACAAAACATAATCTCCTTGTGCTGTCATTGTCACGTTTTGCAAGCATGTACTGCATGTCCATAAGCACCATACTGAATTTGGAGGTGCGAACGCGCTATAGTGACAAAGCGAGAGTGATATGTCTCACTGAGACTCATCCGACGGCGCCGCAGTTGACTGGATTGCATCACTAGTAACGGGTAATGTTTGTTGGAAAACGGAATGTTGCACATGGTACTCACAAAATGCAGATAAAAGTTATTGCCCAGATGCATCTGTCGCATTAGTGAAATATAATATGAAACATGATCACATTTACTTACAGCATCTTTAGACTATTGCACTTCTTAGTAGTTATACTTTGCAAAATACGTCAAATGCATGTGATATATAGGCGTCTAATATGAGCAGTGGAGGAAGGGGAACATCTATTTAAAGAATTTAATGTAACTTCGGTTTAGGTAAATCGATTTTCACATAATAAGTCTTGTTGCAAAGTGCTCACTTCGTATAATCAGATTTTACATGAATAGAGTCTTTTTAGTATATGTTAAAGGTTATAGGGTGCTGTTTGACATTAGCATAAACTTTGCAGGTTTTCTTGGAAATTTCAAATGAAACGATATAATTATTATATATATTATATAAAATAAGATGAAACAGTGAAAACCGCATTTTGATATCTCTTTCCCAAGCAGAGATGATGTAACGAAAATACACACATTCGCAAATTGAAAGCAAACTACAGAAAATCTATTGGAAGTAATGTTGATCATATATTTCCAGGATAAATAAGATATAAAAAATATATAAATTAATAATAAATAGTAAAGGTCATTTGTTTTGTTATGGCACCTGCGATTTGGTAAAACATTTTGATAATATATCATAAATGCAAATAAAAGGAAATATCAACATATTTATATACAGGGTGATTCCTATAGTACCTGCCACCGTTTGGGAGCGTGTAGGTGGTGCGTAGGGGAGTATTTTGATATAGGACACTTGGGGTCGGAAATCTAAAATAAGGGTGCCAGAGCCAAATTTACCTTCTGGAATTTCGCGCCTGTAGGTAGGCAACCCAACCGGCCGGCGGTGCACACGGAGCGATCTCAGGCGGCGATGTGTGGCTGACACTTGATCAGAATTTTGTTTAAACCCACGAAATCCCGTCTGCAACGACGCGTATCAAGTGAATAAACACTATGGCAATAGTATAATAATAGTTGGCTAGATGTAGGAAGTGCATTGAGAACAACGGTGGCCACGTTGAACACTTGTAAACGTTATTGCTTTTGACTGTCGTTTTCCCTCCTTCCCTCCCATGTCGCTTCCTCGCGCTAACTCGCTCTGCATCGCTCCGCGCGAAACGTCGGTCGGTTGGGTTGCCTACATACAGGCGTGAAATTCCAGAAGATAAATTTGGTTCTGGCGCCCTTATTTTAGATTTCCGACCCCAAGTGTCCTATATCAAAATACTCCCCTAGGCACCCCCTATACGCTCCCAAACGGTGGCAGGTACTATAGGAATCACCCTGTATATACACAATAATCTGCGATGCCATGGAATTTTCTAAAACAAAAAGATATCCAGTTATCAATTAGCAGCAGTTCGAAATTGATTTTATGATCGACTTGGTTACTGTCTTGCAGTTAATGGTGACAACACGAACATTTATTGTAAATTGTTATTATTAGGAAACCGTTTTTACTAATTTGGTCTTTCTTTATGTTGTATTCTAAATATAATACTTTTTGGTAGACTTTGATTTGTTTCATAGCAGACATTCCATGGTATGACGGATATTGGCGTAGTTTTGTATTATAAAATTCCATGGCATCACAGATTATTGAAAAAGATGGGGGTTTTATTTTTCTAATTTTCCGTCTTTATTATGCAAAAAATTGAAAACTAATACGGTTGATTTACGTAAAAAAATTTTTTCTACAAAAATCCTTAATATATTTTTGCTCTAAAATAGTTTGGGGAGCCAATAATGGCATGTTATGAATTTTACATTGAAATTCCTATGATGCGTGACGCAAGTCACCACCCGGTACATTTTTGAAATGAGGAAATAACATTTTTGAACTTCCATTAAAAATCTACCAAATTTGATTTTTTACTAACTGCGATATTCATTTGTTTTTTTTTTACTTTAGTTTTTCTGGCAATTTTTGATAAACCCCGCCACTTTTGAATGTAAAGTTTTTTTCTATCTCTTATAATAAACGTGCTATGCTCTGTCTACAAATATACAGAATAACCCTATACATATACATAGTCAATTTCCAAAATGTTACTTAAAACGACAAAAGTCGTTATTCTTGTTTGTATCTATATAAATTAATCTACAAGATGTTAAAATACACCCGTAGTTTATGGGTCACCCTATATTTTAAAAAATCCCATCAGCTTATTCTACAGCCACACAAAAACTGCTTTGATTAATATGGCTATACTTTGACTAAAAGCAGTTACATGAATTTGAGAGAAATTATTTGGTTACATTCTTATAAACATTGGGTACGTACGGTAAACTAGCAGGTTTTTCTATTTTTGAACTTCCACAAAAAGTGTCTGCTGTGATTCGCTTTCTCAACAACATTGCTGTTTTTCAAAGGTACCACCACAAATATTGCAAATACAAAATATGCTTAACAATGATACTGAAATATTGTATATAAGCAGTTGCCAATAGATGCCTGGCTGGATGTTACTGATGTTAGCTGTATAATACACAAAAATCGAAATTCAGAAAATATCCAAAAAGTAAAGAAAAACAGAATTTTTGAGATATGAAAAAATTTTTTATACATAAACTGAAATTGTCATTCAAACCGTGTTCGAACACATGGTTGATAAACTACCTAGAGATAAAAAAAAACTTACCCCATTTGTATTATTTTAGAATTAGTTCACATATTTTCCATAGCAGTATAGTAAGTAAATAATATAGTAAGGTTAGCGGAACTACATAAACTCAACTGTGGAAAATTAGTCGAAAAGAACGCCACAGCTTAATGAAAAGCTATTATTTCCATATAAACACTCCAGAATTGAGTTACATAATCTCACATGGAACTTCCTCACATTCTATGCCTTATGTTTAATTACCTACTACCTGAATCAGATACGATCTTTGGATGATTCCTCTTGAACTAACATATGGTTATGCATGTCTCATTTTCCTTTTTTTCGTAGGATATTGCAAGGGGACTGGGTGATTTTGGTATACTTGAAGATGTTGCTGCACCTGCTCTTCCTGATTTCATATCCAAGGCTTCTACACCTCTACAGTTAGTCCCACGCTGTCTTCCTTTTTATACTAATCGTATACAAAGCTTACACACATAATACAGTAACACCTGCATCATCATTCCTTCACTAAACATTTCCCACAATAAACTTATAGAGTGTTTCAAGGGATGTGCACATTCATAACACATTTACGGATTTTGAAAATTAAAATATTGGGCTCGAGCATAAGACACAACAGTTATCACTATGCTACTAGGTAGCGTATCAGTAACAGTTGTGGTGTTATGTCACAATCCGTACTTTGACAAGTGTAGCGCTACTAAAAATGGCTGACTGCTCCGTAAAAGTAGCGACATCATTATAAGATGTATCGGTAACTGTTCCACAACAGTTGTGTCTTATGAACGTGCCCAATAAATTTGCAGTTTGTGCATCTCATTGGAACAATCTGTACCAACTTGTACTATGATTTATCAATGTATTTACCAGGGCAACTGTGCCTCCACGTACACCAACCAAGCGCACAAAAAGTAGAAAGGAAAAGGCGATCCCAGCCCAGGCAGTATTGCTGAGACGTGAAGAAGAGGATGCAATCCTCCCTGCTCCTATACAGGAAGGTGTGATTCCAGAGCCTGCTGGGTTAATAGATGTGATTGAAAAAGACACAGAGCAGGCGGTTACAGAAATAGTTGTGGCACCACGTCCCAAATCCGTCGAGAAAATATTAGAGCAACCAATACTTCCAGTTGAGAAATCAGTTGAACAGCCAATTGTTAAAACACCGCAGAGAAAGAAAGAAAGAAAGGCGATTCCACTAACAAAAACTTTAGTTAAAATACGGGCAAGGCGTACTGTGAATATCAATCGGTGTGAGGTAGGTGTCTAGGAATCTTGTTGAAAAATTAATTAATACCTTTGCTGTATTGACCCAGTCTACCCAGCTAGGTAGAATTTTACTAATTACGTTTTCTAATTACGAAAATTATGGGCGTTGGTAACAAAAAACCTGCATGATCGGATTGGGTTCCTGAATTTTGATTAATTTAGGGGGTCAATTACCAGCATAGGGTCGATTGTCTAAAAACATATTCACGATGGAGGGGCGCGGAAGGTGTCACCGAAATCCGGCCCCAAGCCGCTAGATTTTAGCGCTTTTCATGTAGGAAATTCAAAAAATCAGTATTTGCCAAAATATAATACTACTCTTGCAATCTCTATAAACAAGGAATTTTGTGGGGATCATTTGGTAATTTTATATTATTTTAGGAGGATGACTATGAACTGTTTGATTTATGGCAATATGAAAATTGGTGCCCAATTACGCTACCCGAACCAGAAGATGCAGACAAACTGATTTTTCCCCTTCTGCCATTTTTACGACCATTATTGGACGAAGGCGACACATTCCTAACTAACATACAGGAAACGCCATAGTAATTAAATTCTCCTTTTGCTTATTTGTATATAATTTTTTTTTGTGCAGTATAAGACCCAGTATACTACGTTCAGATGCTTTATCAAAAGTCGACAGTAGAGCTGTTTCCTCCTTAGCTCAAACTCAAACTATGCATACTCCTCTTCAAATATCCGAACAACATCAGATGGCTGTAACTGTAGATATTCATCAACCGCCAGCTTCTAAGCGACGCAAAACCGCAGCAATAGAGCAAATAAGTCGTGAGGAACTCATTCTTCCTCCTCCAATGTAAGTAGGGTAGATTTTAGATTAACTAATATTTTTGCGATATATTAGACCAGATCTGCCAGCAATAGATGTACTACCAGTAGCTGAAAGTACTCGGATTACGAGCGGCTTAGATCAATCCATTGTTCCGATGCTTGAAAAACGATTATCATCACAACCCATTCTTGAAGAGCAGCACATATCATTAGCACCTCGCGACGTTACTGTTGAAACTGAACTTCCACCAGCAGCAGAAGCGCCTAGACAAAAACCTATGTAAGAAAGCAACTAAGTGTAAACAATACTTTTAATATATTTTTTGTATAGGATTGCAGTTGTAGATCCAGAGATGCAATTGAAACGAAATAGGTATTTTTTAAATAATTGTACTTTATACACGATATTGATTACAAAATTGTTTTTAAGGCTGAAGTGCTTGCGACGGAATTTAGAAAAATGGGATTTTGAAAATCAGGGAAATCCAACTATTGAGGATGTTTGCAAGAGACCTATTAATCGTCTTAATATAGCAACAGCGTTTAATGATTTATTAAGTGAGTATTTTACAAGTTTGACAAGGAGTCTAGTAAAATAATAAAATATTACTATACAGATACAGAGTGATTCCCCCCCCCCCCCCTTGGGCTAGAGAGATTATTAAGGATGACAATTGGAGTAACAATGCTTAGAAAAATTGTGCAAATGAAATTCTTAGTTGGGATAAAAACTTTTATTTGTTACTCAGTTGTAAACGTTGATTAACAAGACAAAACGCAAACGGGTAAACGTCATGTTTAAACGCTACTGACTTGTAAAACTGACAGCAGACTTGTAAAACTGACAGCAGACCTGTAAAAATTTTACAAGTTAGTAATCTAGTAATTTCATTGACCAGAATTAATGCGAAGTCTCGGTTACATGGATCACATGATATTTTAGACATTTCTTCAAGATAAATTTAAGAACTAATTATTTACGTTTACAAATGAGTAACAAATAAAATATTGTACATTATACGCCAGGTAATAGTTTTTACTGGCTCTAGCAGATGACAGGCTCGTCTGACGGCTCGCAAGTCAACTTCTCCTATCGCCAGTAAAAAACTCACTTACCTGGCTAATAATGTAAAATACTATTATTAGACAGTGTGTTTTGTAATTTATCACACGTGTAAATAATAAATTCCATAGGAAGTCACGGAATATCTCTGGAATTTGCATTTTTTTATTATTTTAAATCAATTACAGTTTTTCTGCAATATCTTTTTACAATTTTTACATAATATTCTACTTGCACCCTTAATAATCCCTCCAGTCAAAACTTGGGGGGGTTTTAATCAGCCTATACATAATAACAAAGACCTCTTACCCGAAAGCGTTAGGTTTACCCAAAATACGCCAATGGTGCTTGAGGTCATTTGTAACTTTGGATGTGCCATTTATGTTTTTAATCACAATTTATAGCATTACACAAAATGGAATATGTTATCCTTACTTCAAAACCGGACAGCTTGGAACTGGGGGAAATTCAGATGGGCCAGAAACTGCAATAGTCAATACAAGCGTGTTCTCTTAGTTGCTTTAATATTAAGTTTAAAGATTTTAACTTCATAGTAAGTAAGTAATATGTAATTTCTGTATTTCTAAGAAAATGTTCATTTATTCTGTGTTATAAAGATTTATAGTATACGTATGTTACAGCTGCTTTAGAAATTTATTGGAGTCTTATGCGAATAAATTTTTTTAAAATTTATGTATATCTATACCTTATACTAGCAAAATCTAATGGATTACAATTTTTGACCTGTAATAACAGGTTCAAAAATTACTTTTTCTTTCTATTCAGTGCTGACTGCTTACCATTTATCATTTGTAACTGTGATTTTTGTGGAAATAACTAGTGCTGAGTAATATCCGAAAATATACCAAATATCAATATTTAGAACCGGACTGACGGTTGCAAATCATAATTTCTATATCCATGATGGCATATCTTCTCTGAGAAATAGGCACAAAACTACGTTCATGCAAAGATAATACTACATTAGATAGACACTGTAAGTGGAAGTTGTTAACCACTTATTTAGTTCCGTAAAAAAGAAATAGCCTTTTGCCATGAGGTAATCGTAGGTATTCGACACAGGGGCATAATGTTATCTCTTCCATGACAGAGTCTACATTCCTTTACTTATTTACATAGATCAAATTACATTTAAAGGTAAAAGCAACAAGTTAAAAAGTAATCGTAAACGATTTACATAAAGCGCATTTCCACTTGCATTCATTTCCCATTTGTAAGATGCAACTTCTGTTAAAATCGTAAAAATCCGGCCACAAATATGAAAGAAAGCGTTGCACATGGGCAATCCATTTTTGACGTGCTACTTCAAGTTCAGTTTATGAGAAGAATTTCTTTCAATGCTTTTCTAAATAAGAAAGTTGGCGCAAACCTAAATGTTGAAACTCATGTTAGATTTTCCTTTGTTCCAAGCGCCTAAATATCAAATTTCACTTAAATGCTTCCATAGATAAAAAAAGTTGGCACTGCGCATGGGCAAAATAAAACTTTGAAACTGTCGCTAGATTTTCCTTTATTCCAAGCACCTATGTATCACATTTAATTTAAATTCTTCCATAAATAAAAAAGTTGGCACTGCGCATGCGCAAAACCAAATTTTGAAACTGGCGTTGGATTTTCCTTTATTCCTAGTGGCTATGTATCAAATTTCATTTAAATACTTTTATAATTAAAAAAGTTTGGAATTCGGTGAATTTTGAATCGATTCGACTCAACTGTTGGCATTGCGTATTATATGGCTAAAGCTATGCCCATATTGAATTTCATGCAGTTCAGTTAATAACTAACGGAGATGTAAAAGCGATCAGACATTTCTAAACAAAGTTATCGTTCACACGGACAGATACATCAGAGACAGACAGACAAAGGAACAGACGGACAGACCAACAGACAGACGACAGACAGCAATACAAAATTATAAACGATCTGTAGGATCGTTAATAAACGGCAAAAGTGTAAAATTATGGAACATGTAAAAAACGGTTTTTTGTTTTTTACAATAACTTTTTTATTCTATACAAGGAGAAACTTACATTTTCTCGCCTGTGTGAGGACGCGAAAGAAGACAATTGCACGCATGGTGCGAGAAATAGTTATTTGTGTACCAAGGCCGTAAAAGTGATGTTTTTTGGCCGAAGCTGTTGTTTGCGGCCGAGGCGGTAGCCGAGGCCGCAATTCAGATGAGGCCTAACAAATCACTTTTGGCCAAGGTGCACACAACATTTTTTAGGCGATCATCAAAAAAAGAATTCAAAAATTTGCTCATAAACATATTTTTTCTGAAAATCATAGTTATCTTAGACAATTAAAAACAAAGCATTTCCTGTCATATGTAATTATAGTTAGCATCTTTGCGTGTGTTTTGTGCGTATCAAAATGGGTGATAGCGACAGTTCAGATACCCCAAATGAAATTTTGGAAGCTGCAAGCGTTGCGACCCTAAGTCATATATGATGAGCAGGCGTTTGAGAGTAAAAGTACAATCGCAACTTCCTCCGTTGCACAAGATTTTAATAATGTCAAATGCAATAGGTCCTTCGTAACTGTGGCTTCCAAGACCTTATAGTTAACATGCTGTACAATTATTAGAAACCTGATTACCTACTTTGATGGCAGGTATAGGTAGCTACTTGTGTTCTCGGTTAATTGCTGGTGATTCTTTGTATAATAATGTAAGCAATAACATCTTCCTCATGTTTTGATTCTACACTTCGAAAAGGTATGCAAGGAGCAAAGATTGAAACGTCAAACTATAATTTTAAATACGAACATTGTGATTATGCAAAATAGTGTGAAACATTCCTACAAGTCCGAAAATGAAAAAAAACGCACGTGGATGGCCCAATCCTTGATGGGGCTAGACCAGATAGACGCTTTGTATCAAACAGATTACTGTTTCTCACACATCAGTTTCAAATAAGTAGGTACAGTTTGACAGATGTGTACAATAAAGTAAAGTTTGACAGAAGCGTACAATAAAGTGAAACTTTATGGCCGCAAAAGCGACCACAAAATCAACGTTTTTGTGATGATAGCCTAAAAATTCAATTTTGTCGGCTAGGCGAGAAAAAAAATACGCCTTATGTAAGCTAGATGGCGCGGTTGTAATAAAATGTCAAAGAAGTTATTAACAGGATCGAAAAACCGCAGCTTCGGTTTTTCGATCCTTAAATAAGGAACTCAGGCAACAACTCGATTTTCATTTTTAATTTAATTAAAAATGATTCGATTTTGATGAAAATTTTATCAGACCTTTTTGAGACGATTTCGAATCGATTCCGAGAATTTCGCTACTGGGAAATTCTCGTGAGCGGCTGAAGAGCATCGTCGTCGAGGTGCGCGGGCTCGGATAAAAATTCGCCGTAGCTATACGGTTGGGGTTAGGGAGTCGAGGCGCCGGTTCGGGGAGTTTAGATAGTTGGCGCGACTTTCGGTGGGGTTAAGAAAATTCTGGGGGCACCCGTCGGGGTAGCTGCCATAAGAAGCGAAAAAATCGAAAATTTTAGAAAAAAATTCGTAACTCGAAAACTTCACCGGAACTTTTTTTCGCGCTTTCTGAGACGTCGGGCGACGTGGAGGAGCGTATTTGTGCCGGGGTGCGATTCCATTCTATAGCCCCGTTCGGGAACCGCGCGACCCGGAGGGTCGCTCTCGAAAAGGTGGTTTTTCGCATTTTCCAACTTTGACGCCTTCTACAGGCCGAACCGTTCGAGTTAGAGCAAAACGTACAATTGCGCGATTGTAGATCTCGACGAGATCTACGAGACGAGGGGTCGCGGGTCGCTCTACCACCCCCCGGAGGGGGGTGAGAGGTGAAAAACCGGAGATTTTGAATAGCGCGTTCCGGCGAAGAGATACGGGCTCGAAATCGGATTCGATACCTGCGGCCAAGTTTTCTCTTTCTTTTTCCGTTTACCTCGAGGAGGTAACTCGGACGACGGCGCCGTGGTAAATTTTCTCCCGAAGGTCTGCAAAAGTCACGTGACCGCTTCGTTTTGTTTTTCGCCTACATTAAGCGCCGAAGATTGCCGAACGCGCCGTACTGTCTTTTTAATTAATTGCGAGCTTAATTTTGGACGGAGAATTTCGGTAGAGGTCTCAAAAATTCGAGAAAACTACGAGGAATGTGTTAACATCGGTTTCGAGACGGTGCGTGATCGATTTGTGTTCGAAATTAAGTGATAAAGTTTAAGTGTCGGTTAACTGTCAAACGGATTCCGTCAAGTTTTCAAAGTGTTTTTTAAAGGAAATTAACGTATTAAAATGATCGGTAAGTGTTTGAAATTGATTATTATAAAGTTTAAAAGTGCTTCGAATAAGTGTGGAGTAAATAAAGTACGTTTAAATAATTTGCTAATTTACGTATTCTCGACGTACCTACTTATAATGGTTTAAAAGAAGTGTTAATGTAAGTCCCAGTAGCTTAGTGGTAAGCAGTTCGGACTTTCAACTTGACGATTGCGCGTTCGAACCCGAGCGCGCGCGCGTTTTTTTTTCTTTTTTTGACAAATTTTTTATATTAATTATTTTAATTAAAAGGAACGAAAATAGTTATAATGTTACAATGGAAAAGTTATTGCGGAAGACTTAATGTATACGTGGCCGGTTGCGTTTTGGGTATATTTTGAAATTGGAAGTCATCCGAATGCTTTTTAAGTTAAGGGTGACATAGACGCGTGAGTTTTTCGGTTATAATTTTTTAAGAGACTTGCCAGGCGGGTACGTTCAATGGGGAATATTTAGCTCGAATTATTAGCTATCGTATGCACCGCTCCCCGTCCGAATCGATTGAAAAATAAAGGTTCTGGAAATTTGTTTCTAAAAAAACGATTATATCGCGTGTTTGCCAAGTTTCTTTTATAATTTTTAAACGGTAATTCGTAGGTATGTACTTACAATGGGAAAATTATAGCATATTTAGTTCTCTATTGGAGGCGATCGATCGGAAGGCGATCGGGATTCGATATACGATAATGGGGAAACCGCAATTATTATTAGAATTGCTATACCTGCGGACGAAATTTTTTGAAAATTAGCAAAACTGAGAAATTTTCTTTGTAGAACAGTGAACAGTGCGAGGCGAAGCCGAGCTATGGACCGTTACAAATCAGAGCGAGGCGAGGCGGCAAAGCCGCCGGAGCCGAGCATATTTCTCATCAAACCCAAAAAGTCATAACAAAATTAAAAAATCTTATGTGCAGATTTAGATTGAACAAGTTGAATAGAAATTTTCAGAAAAAGGCACTTTATGTAGGTGATGTTTTCAAAAATCTTCACAAATTAAAAAAATTGTCAATTTAGGAAATCTCGCGAGGGGTATTCCTCCCCCGCGAAACACCCGGTTTTGTGATTTCACGCTCCGGAAGTTAAACAGTAAGCGTTCTTAGACGCTGTCGCGGCTTAGGGGGATAGCAAGAATGAGTGCGTACAATCGCGTATGTCTTATACCAAAAAGTGCTATCAAAATTAAAAAATCTTATGTGCAATTATATGCACATCTGAATTTGTTAAATTCAACAATAGGTCGGAATAACAAAAAGTCACTTTGTATTGACGATGCTTCCAAAAAAAATATTCTTCACAAATTAAAAAAAATTGTCAATTCAGTCTGCCCAATATAATTTTCTTACATTACCAAAAC